GCGGTCGGAACCGGTTCCAGAACCACGCAGATGGGGGGGTGTTGACATAAAATAAATATAATTAATAGAGTGGGCTTGGAACAGGTGCATGCCGCCACCTACTGTGCTGGTTTATGCGATCAATCATGGTTTGCCTAATTCTGTACTACTAAGAAAAATGTATAAACAAATAAATCCCTACTAACTTCTAACAAACTCTCCCCCTCCCAAAAAACCCTCCCAAACCCCCCCAACCCCATCCGACCTATTCAAACTTTATCTCTATCATGCTGAGACAATCCATCTTTAGGATTATTCAGCATTTCAGAAATCATGTCGACAGTAACATGTTACCCCTAATAACTCTGTTGCCCTATCCATAATAATCGAGTCGTGTTGATAACCTTTCCAATAAAAGCTATTAAGTCAATTTTATTTACTATCAAAGTGTCCTTTGACAAAGCACATTTATGGGAGCAAGATTTCTGAACAGGCCTCGAAACCATGTCAGTACTAGTAGAAGCACCAGTTCTGACAGTAGGTCCACTTACTATGGGAGCAGCCATGGTAGCTCCATCAGTCCGCCTAGTAGTTCCACCAATCTGCCTTACAGCCTCTGCATATGAGATCATGATTGATTCTACACTGAACAAAAATATAAACGCAACATGTAAAGTGTTGGTCCCATGTTTCATGAGCTTAACTAAAAGATCCCAGAAAATGTCCATATGCACAAAAAGCTTATTTCTTGTGTGGTGCACAAATTTGTTTACATCCCTGTTAGTGAGCATTTCTCCTTTGCCAAGATAATCCATCCACCTGACAGGTGTGGCATATCAAGAAGCTGATTAAACAGCATGATCATTACACAGGCGCACCTTGTGCTGGGGTCAATAAAAGGCAACTCTAAAATGTGCAGTTTTGTCACACAACACAATACCATAGATATCTCAGGTTTTGAGGGAGCATGCGATTGGCATGCTGACTATGGGAATGTCCACCAGAGCTGTTGCCAGAGAGGTGAATGTTTATTTCTCTACCATAAGCCACCTTCAACGTCAATTTAGAGAATTTGGCAGTATGTCCAACCAGCCTCACAACCGCAGACCACGTGTATGGCGTCATCAGCGGTTTGCTGATGTCAACGTTGTGAACAGATTGCCCCATGGTGGCAGTGGGGTTATGGTATGGGCAGGCATAAGCTACGGACAACGAACACAATTGCAATACTGTGACGAGATCCTGAGGCCCATTGTGACCAACAGATGCATGTCTGTATTCACAGTCATGTGAAATCCATAGATTAGGGCCTAATTTATTTATTTCAATTGGCTGATTTCCTCATATAAACTGTAACTTATATTTTTGTTCAGTATATATCTCTGGGACTCTCTAGCCTCTCTCTGCACCTGGCATCCACCAAATGCTGCACTGTGTCCCCCCACAATTACAACACTTAGACTTCACATTGTTCCCACAGTAACCATAATCATGTTCCCCTCCACACTTGGCACATCTTTTCAAATCAAATCAAAGTTTATTGGTAGAGTACACATGGATGGATAGAATTGCAGAAAATTTGCTTCAGGACCGGATTCCAGAATATAAATAATATATACTGGATGTACAGTATGTGAATGCTGTGTATATACAGTATGGACAGTATGTAAATAGAAAAGGTGTGGATAGCAGTAGTTATATAGGATGAGCCATGACTAGAATACAGTATATACAGTGAGGGAATTAAGTATTTGATCCCCTGCTGATTTTGTACGTTTGCCCACTGACAAAGACATGATCAGGGTAGTGGGTTCGACCACCCATACGTAAAAATGTATGCACACATGACTGTAAGTCACTTTGGATAAAAGCGTCTGCTAAATGGCATATTATTATTATTATTATAAATTGATTTGCATTTTAATGAGGGAAATATGTATTTGACCCCTCTGCAAAACATGACTTGGTGGCAAAACCCTTGTTGACAATCAGAGGTCAGATGTTTCTTGTAGTTGGCCACCAGGTTTGCACACATCTCAGGAGGGATTTTGTCCCACTCCTCTTTGCAGATCTTCTCCAAGTCATTAAGATTTCGAGGCTGACGTTTGGCAACTCGAACCTTCAGCACCCTCCACAGATTTTCTATGGGATTAAGGTCTGGAGACTGGCTAGGCCACTCCAGGACCTTAATGTGCTTATTCTTGAGCCACTCCTTTGTTGCCTTGGCCGTGTGTTTTGGGTCATTGTCATGCTGGAATACCCATCCACGACCCATTTTCAATGCCCTGGCTGAGGGAAGGAGGCTCTCACCCAAGATTTGATGGTACATGGCCCCGTCCATCGTCCCTTTGATGCTGTGAAGTTGTCCTGTCCCCTTAGCAGAAAAACACCCCCAAAGCATAATGTTTCCACCTCCTTGTTTGACGGTGGGGATGGTGTTCTTGGGGTCATAGGCAGCATTCCTCCTCCTCCAAACACGACGAGTTGAGTTGATGCCAAAGAGCTCGATTTTGGTCTCATCTGACCACAACACTTTCACCCAGTTCTCATCTGAATCATTCAGATGTTCATTGGCAAACTTCAGACGGGCCTGTATATGTGCTTTCTTGAGCAGGGGGACTTTGCGGGCGCTGCAGGATTTCAGTCCTTCACGGCGTAGTGTGTTACCAATTGTTTTCTTGGTGACTATGGTCCCAGCTGCCTTGAGATCATTGACAAGATCCTCCCGTGTAGTTCTGGGCTGATTCCTCACCGTTCTCATGATCATTGCAACTCCATGAGGTGAGATCTTGCATGGAGCCCCAGGCCGAGGGAGATTTTTCAGTTATTTTTTGTTTCTTCCATTTGCGAATAATCGCACCAACTGTTGTCACCTTCTCACCAAGCTGCTTGGCGATGGTCTTGTAGCCCATTCCAGCCTTGTGTAGGTCTACAATCTTGTCCCTGACATCTTTGGAGAGCTCTTTGGTCTTGGCCATGGTGGAGAGTTTGGAATCTGATTGATTGATTGCTTCTGTGGACAGGTGTCTTTGATACAGGTAACAAACTGAGATTAGGAGCACTCCCTTTAAGAGTGTGCTCCTAATCTCAGCTCGTTACCTGTATAAAAGACACCTGGGAGCCAGAAATCTTTCTGATTGAGAGGGGGTCAAATACTTATTTCCCTCATTAAAATGCAAATCAATTTATAAAATTTTTGACATGCATTTTTCTGGATTTTGTTGTTGTTATTCTGTCTCTCACTGTTCAAATAAACCTACCATTACAATTATAGACTGATCATGTCTTTGTCAGTGGGCAAACATACAAAATCAGCAGGGGATCAAATACTTTTTTCCCACACTGTATGCATGTAAAGTGGGTAAAACAGTATGTAAACATTTTAAAGTGACCAGTGTTCAATGACTCTATATACATAGGGCAGCGGTCTCTAAGGTGCAGGGTAGAGTACCGGGTGTAAGTAGCCTTGCACAAGCCTTGGCTTGTGCAAACCTGAAACGGCTCATAGGGCAGGAGCCTAGCTGCTGTTTCTGTAGCGCGATGCAGCTTGATGTACAAGTATAGCCCTTGGACAGGACTCTAGTCTATCGCAGGGCCTTACCCCCAATATATCTCCTTAATGCTGAGTACCGGGTGGTAGCCAGGTAATGATAGTGTCTGAGGTTCAAGGTAGGGTACTGGGCAGAGGCCGGCTAGTGGTGACTGTTTAATAGTCTGAAGGCCTGGAGATAGAAGCTGTTTATCAGTCTTTGATGCACCTGTACTGTCTCTGGCTTCTAGATGGTAGGCCGTGGCCCGGGTGGCTGGGGTCCTTGATGATCTTCTTGGCCTTCCTGTGACACCGGGTGCTGTAGATGTCCTGGAGGGCAGGCAGTGTGCCCCCGATGATGTGTTGGGCTGACCGCACCACCCTCTGGAGAGCCCTGCGGTTGTGGATGGTGCAGTTGCCGTACCAGGCGCTGGTACAACCCGATGACAGAATACTCTCAATCGTGCGTTGGTAGAAGTTCGTGAGGGTCTTGGGGGTCAAGTCAAGTTCTTCAGCCTTCTGAGGTTGAAGATGCACTGATGCGCCTTCTTCACCACACTGTCTGTGTGAAGGGACCACTTTATACATTTATTTTGGGTTTGTTTCCACCCTCATGATTGAAGAAGGAGAGTATCATTTCATACAAGCACATTTTTGTCCACTTTCCCTCTCCTCGCTGCCTTTCCTCGATTACCTTTGACCCTTTTTCAAAAGGAGACTAGAGTGGACGCAGGAGTTAAGCAAACCAATTGAGAAAAGGAGAGGCAGCCAGGAGAGGGGAAAGTGGACGAAAATGTACTTGTATGAAATGAGACTCTCCTTCTCCAACGCGTGTCATCAGGCAAATAACGTTTAGAGGGTGGAACCCCAAAATAAATGTATAAAGTCATAAAAAATAAATGTAGCTAGTTGTGCAATACATTTTCTAGACAAAAGGATAAGTAACATATCGTTTTTAAATGTTTGCATGCATTCCTTCGAGAAAACAATAACTGATTCAAAGGGGGTGTGGCAGGAGTCCGGTAGAATACGATTCTGCTTCCTCGACAAAAGGAGGCTATCGAGGAGGGGAGGACCGTCTTCGGTTTGCCTACAAACGAATTGAAACAACTCCTCGACCACAACACTTATCGGTTTCCGGGTCACGGGGGTGAGAGGACGGAGGAGACAGGGCGAAGGACAGACGGCGAAGGATGGACTTTTTCAAATGAGAAAAGGCCATTGAATTGATTGGGGAGCCCCGTTCTATTCATTCTATTTCTATGGTTGACATCCGGGACACGGTTAGTCCCCCCTGCCATGCAGACACGCGCTGACTCTCACTGTCTGTACGATGACATCACGGGGCATAGGAATGGCGGCTCTGGCTGATGGAGGAAAGAGCCAAAAGACCCTGAAACTTTACTTCTAACATCATTAAGAAGGATTCAAAATTGATTGAAGCAACATACGGCAATGGAATAGAACCAGAATAACTCGAATTCCGTTTGATTTTCTGTTCAATACCGACGTCCAGTCTCGGGAAGTTTACTACTGGCACTGCTGACTTGAGTCTAACGTTGTTAGTTAAGCTACCTACCTGGCTAGACAGCTAGCTAATAGCCTGTAGCTAGCTTGTTTAGCTAACGTTGATATTAACGCCAGTCATTATTTAGTATAATTGTATTGATTGATACATTAATAATTATCCGAAATAATAAATCATTGTTCTAATTAGTCGGTACGTAATATTGCTACTAGGCTGGTTTCTGAGGACATTCACGAAGACCCATTCTTGCCATAGCTAGCTAACTACAGTAACACTTAGCTAAGCTGAGAAACTAGCAAAGCTAACCAGCAACGTCGCTCCTCTCTCGCCTTTTTTGAGTCCAGTTCTCACAAGTAAGGATAACAAAACAGCCAATTAGTCTGCTGATAGCGTACTTTTGATGCCATAATGGAAAGTTTAACATTAACTGATGTGGAGCAGAAGTATTACTCTGATTTGTTCGTTTATTGCGATACGGACAACACCAAGAAAGTGGCTTCCAACGGCAAAGTTCTTGACCTTTTCCGGGCGGCCCAACTACCCAGTGAGGTTGTCCTGCAGGTAACTTAGGCTACCTACATTAAGCTAGCTAATGTATCAATCTGTAAAATGTGATAGATACATGTTGTATGTAGCGTGCTTGTTGACTGGTGAACGTGACAAGACACCTTTTACTAACGTTAGCCAGTTAGCAAAGTGAAAAGGAGCTTTGCAGCTGGCTAACTGCTAGCCAAGTATGCTTCCCAGAAGGAAGTTAGCAAGTTGCTAGCATTACACTTTCTACATGGGCAAACTGATGTCAATAGATATTCAACACCATATTTATTTTCAATGTTCTTCTAACTATCTTTATGCTTGATAGTCTTAACATTTGAATAATTAGCTACCTAGCTGTCAGTTAACAGTCGATAGCCTACTTCCTTCCTTGTGCATTTAATACTTTGTTGCTTGCTGGACTGGATACAAAGTTTACAATAATATTGTCCATATTATACGGACACAATCTTATTTGTATCACCTTGTTTCTATAGGTCCTTATCAATAAAACATAATACAGTGTAGAGCGTTCGATTGGGCTGCTGGGGGGCAAGGCGGCCCCCAACATCGTTATAAACGACAACTATGTGTCGTTTTCAAGGGATTGTTAAATAAATGTTTGAACTATTTGGTTTTAATATCACCTATTGAAGAACGTAGAAATACACATTTACGATTATTCCAAATGTTTTGCTCTATCAGAGTTAATCAGCAAGTAACTGCATGCTTAATCATGATCAGTAAACATCCATTGATCATGTATTTTCAGATAAGTGAGGGTAGCCTATCAATTTGGTATGTAGCTAAATGTTAAGAGCCCAGAAGTTTGGGCTGAACATTAATATGCGTCACTTGCGGTACGGTATCTTTAATATCAGCGAGAAATAATAATAAAGGAAAGGTTAAATTCATACACACCTTTTTTATAGGGTTAGTGTTCCCACACTGCCATATCTCCATGTTACAACGCGTGTTTACGGAAGACAGGGACCACCTGTGCTAATTAGCTATCTAGCAGGCTCCTAACACCTGTGTGTAACAGAAGAAGGCCTCTAATTTGTAGTCACTGAAAAATACTGTCAGCTGCAACTGTGATAAAGCCGGTTAAAACATTTGTGAAATTATTTTGGTGTGATATAAAAGTAAAGGGATTTATGTTTCTAGAACCGTATCGCAATTGAGAATCGATTCATGTTTAGGTGGAGTATTTGGCTGTTTTGGCTGCCAGAGCCAGTCTACCTCTGAAAATAACATATAAGGTCCTTGGACCTTAAGGAATAACGGTAGGCTCCTTAAGAGTACATCTTGGGCTAGAGATAAATGTGCGTATTTGTTTTGCATGGAATAATATGAAATGTGTAATTCTGACTATGCTCTTCAAGAGGTGATTATATTACAACCAAATAGTTAACATTTATTGAACAATCCCTTGAAAACGGCACGCTGTTGTCAATGGTTTTATCTGAGCCGGGGGTCTCCTTGCCCCCCAGCAGGCAAATCGAACATGCTGCACCTTATTGTGACGGTTTATTGATAATGACCTATCCAAAAGTCAAAAGTGCTCATTTGAATGATTTATCAAATCCAAGATGTGAAGTCCGTATAATGTGCATTGTAGCACAGACTGAGTTACTTGAACATAGGAATGTTCAGCTTGCCTATTTCTTTGTATATTCATGCTATTATCAATTTATCCATTTGTGGGCTAACATCAACATTACTGTCACAGTTGAAGGATTGCTGGGCTGTCTTTCATTCAAAGTGTCAGTTATTGACCAGCTCAGTCTAATTCCTAAGCCACTTGTCCTGGTGTATAGAATTCATGTGATAGGAAGGGGTCTGTATTTCTGACTCACACTTTTGTTTTAAACATTTACTGTGTCTTTGCTATTTTGTGGGCCATGATTTCTTCCTCCTTCAGAAACACAAGACTAATAGTTTCTGCTATGGATGTTTAGTATACTGAAGAATAGGCTTTATACATGATCCATATCTAAGATGTGAAATGTTTCCTGGGTCAGTTTGACAGCCTATTTCCCATTGAAATGATGCTGACTCACTAGGCCTAGGCTTGTAACATAATTTCTTACCAACCTTGGTCTTACCTTATAGCACCGCAATGGTAAAGTCATATACCTCTCCAGATTCAGATCGTGCATGTCCCTTTTAGAAATGACAGGCCGTTTTGTGCAGACACAAGTCACATTGCTCAGTAAGCACACAAAGCAACAGCTTTCTTCCTGTGTTAGGAAGCAACGTCCTTGGAACTTTCTCTGTGAGAGACTGCAACATTCTCCCCCATTATAAACTATTTGGCACAAAACAGTAGTGCATTAACAGAATGAGTTTATATTGCTCTACAGTTGAAGTCGAAAGTTTACATACACTTAGGCTGGAGTCATTAAAACTTGTTTTTCAACCACTCCACACATTTCTTGTTAACAAACTATAGTTTTGGCAAGTCGGTTAGGACATCTACTTTGTGCATGACACAAGTCATTTTTCCAACTGTTGTTTACAGACAGATTATTTCACTTATAATTCACTGTATCACAATTCCAGTGGGTCAGAAGTTTACATACACTAAGTTGACTGTGCCTTTTAAACAGCTTGGAAGTTTCCAGAAAATTATGTCATAGCTTTAGAAGCTTCTGATAGGCTAATTGACATCATTTGAGTCAATTGGAGGTGTACCTGTGGATGTATTTAAAGGCCTACCTTCAAACTCAGTGCCTCTTTGCTTGACATCATGGGAAAATCAAAAGAAATCAGCCAAGACCTCCGAAAAAAGATTGTAGCCCTCCACAAGTCTGGTTCATCCTTGGGAGCAATTTCCAAACGCCTGAAGGTACCATGTTCATCTGTACAAACAATAGTACGCAAGTATAAACACCATGGGACCACGCAGCCGTCATACCGCTCAGGAAGGAGACGCGTTCTGTCTCCTAGAGATGAACGTTCGTTGGTGTGAAAAGTGCAAATCAATCCCAGAACAACAGCAAAGGACCTTGTGAAGATGCTGGAGGAAACCGGTACAAAAGTATCTATATCCACAGTAAAACGAGTCCTATATCGACATAACCTGAAAGGCCGCTCAGCAAGGAAGAAGCCACTGCTCCAAAACCGCCATAAAAAAGCCAGACTATGGTTTGCAACTGCACATGGGGACAAAGATCGTACTTTTTGGAGAAATGTCCTCTGATCTGATGAAACAAAAATAGAACTGTTTGGCCATAATGACCATCGTTATGTTTGGAGGAAAAGGGGGGTTGCTTGCAAGCCGAAGAACACCATCCCAACCGTGAAGCACGGGGGTGGCAGCATCATGCTGTGGGGGTGCTTTGCTGCAGGAGGGACTGGTGCACTTCACAAAATAGATGGCATCAGGGGAAGGAAAATGATGTGGATATATTGAAGCAACATCTCAAGACATCAGTCAGGAAGTTAAAGCTTGGTCGCAAATTGGTCTTCAAAATGGACAATGAGCCCAAGCATACTTCCAAAGTTGTGGCAAAATGGCTTAAGGATAACAAAGTAAAGGTATTGGAGTGGCCGTTACACCAGCTCTGTCAGGAGGAATGGGCCAAAATTCACCCAACTTATTGTGGGAAGCTTGTAGAAGGCTACCCGAAACGTTTGACCCAAGTTAAACAATTTAAAGGCAATGCTACCAAATACTAATTGAGTGTATGCAAACTTCTGATGAAATAAATAAAAGCTGAAATAAATCATTCTCTCTACTATTATTCTGACATTTCATGTTCATAAAATAAAGTGGTGATCCTAACTGATCTAAGACAGGGAATTTTTACCTGGATTAAATGTCAGTAATTGTGAAAAACTGAGTTTAAATGTATTTGGGTAAGGTGTATGTAAACTTCCGACTTCAACTGTATGTTGATAATACTTTGTCTCAGATAACAGAGCTCTGTGGAGCCACTCGCCTGGGCCATTTTGGAAGAAGCCAGTTTTACATTGCACTGAAACTCATCGCTGTAGCCCAGTCTGGACTGCCTCTCCGGGTAGAGAGCCTAAATTCTGGTGAGTAAACATGTCTAGAATTCTCCATCTATTAGAAATGGACCCCTAAAATATGAGGCAGGGTATAGCACCGGACAATGTTTAAATCTTTGTTTGCCTTTGGTTGGTGCGGTTTCAGTTAAAATCAACCTGACGATATTTAAGGGACAGTAGCATAGTCATGTGTTCTTTACAATGACATTTATTTGTCTTCAAACGTTGCAAGAGCATAGCTGTTTGCATAACTTCAAAGATGGAATAAGGATAGCCTACACTTACATTTACATTTACATTACATTTTAGTCATTTAGCAGACGCTCTTATCCAGAGCGACTTACAGTTAGTGAGTGCATACATTATTTTTCATACTGGCCCCCCGTGGGAATCGAACCCACAACCCTGGCGTTGCAAACGCCATGCTCTACCAACTGAGCTACATCCCTGCCGGCCATTCCCTCCCTTACCCTGGACGACGCTGGGCCAATTGTGCGCCTCCCCATGGGTCTCCCGGTTAAGGGCTGGTACCACGGTTAAGGGCTGGTACCACGGTTAAGGGCTGGTCTTTGTGGTATATGGCCAATATACCACGGCTAAGGGCTGTTCTTTGTGGTATATGGCCAATATACCACGGCTAAGGGCTATGTCCCAACGAACAGCCCTTAGCCGTGGTATATTGGCCATATACCACACCTTCTCGGGCCTTATTGCTTAATCATAGCAATCAAAACAAGTTACATCGAAATCCATTGATGGAAAATGTCTTGGGCTAGACATTTTTGCTAAACCTGGCAACCCTGACTCAAAGGCAGTCCTTCGATATAAAGTTGTGTTTGACGAAAATTAAAACGTGTCAGTTTGTCGCTTTCACGAGGTTGGAGTACTAACATGTTCAACTACATAAAAGATTGGCTCAAATCTAGGTTGTGCCTTTCCTTTACATTTCGAGAAAATTAACAACTAAGGAATAATTTTTCACTTCTCTCATTGACTAGTGAAATGTTACAGTGTTGATCAAAGCCTCGTGTAACGAACCTACACAACTGTCAGGAAAGCCTCAATGCTTCACATTCGTTTCCCCATCACTATGCATTCCTGATTGTATTATCTGTTCAGATAAAAGAGTATGAAAGAACCAATCATTTACCTACCACAAATAATGTGTCGACCTCCTTCACAGCTCACGGTTTACTTACCAACTTCTTCCCTGATTTGGGGTTGGTTAAATGCGGAAGACGCATTTCGGTTGAATGCATTCAGTTGTGCAACTGACTAGGTATCCCCTTTCCCATTTTGAATCAATGGACACATAGTAGGGCCGAGACAATACAAGTGTCGTGATACTCGTTAGTATCGTGGCAAGGAAACAAAACACCAAGCAGATTTAACTTCTTTAGGAAAACAGCCCCAATGTTGGAAACAAATATCCTTATGTTGTCATCCAGAGTCACATTTATTTATTTTCCGAACTACATCCCCCTTAGCGTTTTTCCTATTTTGTTGCATTACAACCTGTAATTTAAATGGATTTTTATTTGGATTTCATGTAATGGACATACACAAAATAGTCCAAATTGGTGAAGTGAAATGAAAATAATAATTTGTTTCAAAAAAACAAATAACGGAAAAGTGGTGTGTGCATATGTATTCACCCCCTTTGCTATGAAGCACCTAAATAAGATCTGGTGCAACCAATTACCTTCAGAAGTCACATAATTAGTTAGATTGCACACAGGTGGACTTTAAGTGTCACATGATCTCAGTGTATATATACACCTGTTCTGAAAGGCCCCAGAGTCTGCAACACCACTAAGCAAGGGGCACCACCAAGCAAGCGGCACCATGAAAACCAAGGAGCTCTCCAAACAGGTCAGGGACAAAGCTGTGTAGAAGTACAGATCAGGGTTGCGTTATAAAAAAATATCTGAAACTTTGAACATCCCACAGAGCACCATTAAATCCATTATAAAAAAATTGAAAGAATATGACACCACAACAAACCTGCCAAGAGAGGGCCGCCCACCAAATCTCACAGACCAGGCAAGGAGGGCATTAATCAGAGAGGCAACAAAGAGACCAAAGATAACCCTGAAGGAGCTGCAAAGCTCCACAGCGGAGATTGGAGTATCTGTCCATAGGACCACTTTAAGCTGTACACGCCACAGAGCTGGGTTTTACGGAAGAGTGGCCAGAAAAAAAGCCATTGCTTAGAGAAAAAAATAGGCAAACACGTTTGGTGTTTGCCAAAAGGCGTGTGGGAGACTCCTCAACCATATGGAAGAAGGTACTCTGGTCAGATGAGACTAAAATTGAGCTTTTTGGTCATCAAGGAAAACGCTATGTCTGGCGCAAACCCAACACCTCTCATCACCCCGAGAACACCACCCCAGTGAAGCATGGTGGTGGCAGCATCATGCTGTGGGGATGTTTTCATTGGCAGGGACTGGGAAACTGGTCAGAATTGAAGGAATGATGGATGGCGCTAAATACAGGGAAATTCATGAGGGAAACCTGTTTCAGTCTTCCAGAGATTTGAGACTGGGACGGAGGTTCACCTTCCAGCAGAACAATGACCCTAAGCATACTGCTAAAGCAACACTTGAGTGGTTTAAAAGGAAACATTTAAATGTCTTGGAATGGCCTAGTCAAAGCCCAGACCTCAATCCAATTGAGAATCTGTGGTATGACTTAAAGATTGCTGTACACCAGCAGAACCCATCCAACTTGAAGGAGCTGGAGCAGTTTTGCCTTGAAGAATGGGCAAAAATCCCAGTGGCTAGAAGTGCCAAGCTTATAGAGACATACCCCAAGAGACTTGCAGCTGTAATTGCTGCAAAAGGTGGGTCTACAACATATTGACTTTGGGGGGGTAAATAGTTATGCACGCTCAAGTTTTCTGTTTTTTTATCTTATAATTGGCCTAAAATACAAATGAGGTGTGTTTAGGTATTGAACTGAATTTTCTCCCTAGAGATGAGCTGTTTTTAAATGCATAATATACTGTCAAAACATGGAGGATACGTGCATCAGTTATGCGAGTCACCCAAGTCTCATATCTGAGTCTATTAATAAGCAACAGGATGCAAAGATATGGATGGATCAGAGGTAGAGCATTAGTGTGAGTTTGCAGGAAATAAAGGCATCCCTGTAGGGTTTAAGATACAGGAGAAGAATAGAGACTTAAGTCAACAGGAAATTGCACAACCCAAACGGGATGCTGGGCCAGTGAGATTGGAGGAAAAGACTCAAAGTTGCCCAGAACATGAATATTTTTGTATATAAAATTGTTTTAACCCCCCCCCCCCCCCCAAACACACACACACACACACTCACACACATTTGACAAAACAGTCTTTTAGTATTAAGGAGGCGTCTCTTTTTCTAAACAATGTAGTGGTCTTTCTTTCCTTTAACCCACCACCTTAACCCACTTTCAATTGAGATGGTTTGGGATGAGTTTGACTGCAGAGTGAAGGAAAAGCAGCCAACAAGTGCTCAGCATATATGGGAACTCCTTCAAGACTGTTGGAAAAGCATTCCTCATGAAGCTGGTTGAGAGAATGCCAAGAGTGTGCAAAGCTGTCATCAAGGCAAAGGGTGGCTACTTTGAAGATTCTCAAATATAAAATATATTTGGATTTGTTTAACTTTTTTGCTTACTACATGATTCCATATGTGTTATTTCATAGTTTTGATGTCTTCACCATTATTCTACAATGTAGAAAATAGTAAAAATAAAGAAAAATCCTTGAATGAGTAGGTGTGTCCAAACGTTTTGACTGGTACTGTATGTTAAGTCAGTTTACTAACACTTAACTTGATCTGGTTAATAATGCAGCTAAAAAACAAATGTGGTTATCAATATCAACACTTTTGTTGTGATAAGCCATGCTAGACTACAACAACGGACCATTCAAGCCCATAGTCAAGACAACTAGCTGGAGGGGATTTGAGGCAGTGCTGTTATCTAATAGTGTTTCTCATCCACAGTCAAGGACTTGCCTCTGCCTCGCTTTGTTGTGGCCAAAAATGAGCAGGAGGCCAGACACACAGCCATGTACCCCGACTTGGAGAACCAGGGGCCTTACCAGGGTGTGATTCCACGACCCCCGGGCCGAGGGCAGGTCAAGAAGGTGTCTGCCCACGAGGTCATCCAGCCCTGTGTGCCCACAGTAGAACCACAGGTCAGTCATAATAATTCTTCCCCTCTGGAGATGTAGGCTAGATATCATGCCCAATAAGAGCTGTTATTTTTATAGTGCTGAAAGCCTACATGTTGGCAAAGGCAAGGTAAGAAACATTTATCTTATCAACAGATCTCTGGTGGAGAAATGCATTTGATGCAAAACAATTTGTATTATATCAATTTTTAAAGAGTAGTACTGTAACTCTGACAGATCTAACTTTGATTAAACATTGTATGTCTATCTAATGTTATTTACCCCTCTCTGCAGCCCGACACCACTTCTCCAGTGGTGTCTCCCAACCAGTCCCCTCCCACCTCGCCCCATGCCTGGAGGAAGCACAAACGGCAGGCCAGCGGGGGGAACTTAGAGAGACCTCCTGTGGTGGTGGCAGGTGCTGTCTGGACACCTTTCAGAGAAGCACAATCAGGTACACACTACTCTGCAAACTGTATCCTCTGCGAAGATGACAATCTGGCAATGTTTCAGTTGGAGATGTCCAATAATGCATCTTATTGACTTTCACCATCCTGCAACTATGGCATGTCTTAAATATATGAGAGGTTCAGCCAATAAACATAAATGTTTTGTTTCCTGACAATGATGTTGATGTCATACAGTGCCGTGAAAAAGTATTTGCCCCCTTTCTAATTGTAGCTACTTTTGCATATTGTTTTTATATTTATCTTTTATCTTTTTTCTCCCCAATTTCGTGGTATCCAATTGGTAGTTAGTCTTGTCCCATCGCTGTACAGACATGGGAGAGGTGAAGGTCGAGAGCCGTGCGTCCTCCGAAACACAACCCAACCGAGCCGCACTGCTTCTTGACACAATGCCCGCTTAACCCAGTAGCCAGCCGCACCAATGTGTCGGAGGAAACACCGTACACCTGGCGGCCATGTCAGCGTGCACTGCGCCCAGCCCGCCAAAGGAGTCGCTAGTGTGCGATGGGACAAGAACATCCCTGCTGGCCAAACCCTCCCCTAACCTGGACGACGCTGGGCCAATTGTGCGCCACCCCATGGGTCTCCCGGTTGCGGCCGGCTGCGACAGAGCCTGGACTCGAACCAGACTTTTGCATATTTTTTATACTAAATGTTATCAGATCTTCAACCAAAGCCTAATATTAGATAAAGGGAACCTGAGTGAACAAATAACACAACAATTACGTACTTATTTCATTTATTTCATAAACAAAGTTGTCCAAAAAGTTATACTTTTGACTCTTCGGTCCATAGAACATTCTTCCAAGAGTCTTGATGATCATCCAGGTGCTTCCAGGTGCTTTTTGGCAAACTTAAGTCAACTTTTTGGATCAGATGGGTCCCATTTATGTCTGGTGAAAACCAAACACTTCATTCCACAGTAAGAACCTCATACCAACGGTCAAGCGTGGTGGTAGTGTGATGGTTTGGGGATGCTTTGCTGCCTCAGGACCTGGACAACTTGCCTTAATAGAAGGAACCATAAATTCTGCTCTGTATCAGGGAATTGTACAGGAGAATGACAGGCCATCCGTCTGTGAGCTGAAGCGCAACTGTGTCATTCAGCAAGACAATGATCCAAAACACACAATCAAGTCTACATGAAAATGGTTAAAAAGCAACACATCTGAAGTTTTGGAATGGCCTAGTCAAAGTCCAGACCTAATCCCAATTGAGATGTTGTTGCATGAGCAGTTCATGCTTGAAAACCCACAAATGTTGCTGAGTTAAAGCAGTTCTGCATGCAAGAGTGGGCCAAAATTCCTCCACAGCAATGTGGGAGACTGATTAACAACTACAGGAAGCATTTTGTTGCAGTCATTGGCACTAAAGGTGGCACAACTAGTTATTGAGTGTAAGGGGACAATTACTTTTTCACACAGGGGAATTAGGTGTTGCAGAACTTATTTTTTAATGAAATAAATCAAATAAGTATCAATTTTGTTATATGTAAACAAGTTCCCTTTATCTAATATTAGGTTTTGGTTGAAGATCTGATAACATTCAGTATCAAAAATAGAGAAAATCAGAAAGGGGGCAAATACTTTTTCACGGCACTGTAAGTGTCTCTGTAGTCCTTCAGCAGTTCTTGAGTATGCTCTCTGCTGTAGCTAGAAAGATCTTTGTGTAATCTAATTGCCCTGTCTGAGGCTGTGTAACTATCCTCTCTCCATAGGACCTGTGGTGGCAGGTGATGGGATGTGGTCTGCCCACTCACCTCCCCCCGTTCAGGAAAGCTGGGTCAGTTTGAAAGATACTCATCCCCCCTCCAGCACACTGCCACCAATGCATCTCTCGCCGGTCCAGGTAGTGCAGCAAATGCTTCCATGGACCTGTCATCTCTCTCACGTAATGGCTTAAAGGCAGAGATGGAGCTTTAGCTTAACTTCTTGTCTAGCCTACTTCACTAGATGCTCTATTTTGATGGCTTCAGTTTCCCCCTCATAAAAATACATATTTCACTGCAATAAATCAGGAACAGTTCTGTGTCCAAACAAGCAAGATTCACTGTAAGTGGGTTGAGGTATTTGAAAACGAACACTTGCAAACCCTCTTCTGCTACTCTTCTGTTTATTTCCCATTGTCCCACAGTCTGTGTATTCATTGCCTATTAGTACTATCACGACTCTTCCAAAGGATTGTTTCAATCTGTTATTTTCCTCTAAATGTTTCACTTGGCTGCCTTTAGGAGAACTCTTCGATACGAACGGTTGCGTCTGTTGCTACAGCCAATGAAATCCAAAGACAGTCCAGTAGTGGTTATGACGACCCCTGGAAAATCACAGACGAGCAGAGACAGTATTACATCAATCAGTTCAAGACCATCCAGCCCGACCTCAACGGTTTCATTCCTGGTAAGTAGAGTGAGCTTTGTCTGAAATAGGGTTGTAACTTTCCCAACATTCCCAGGTTTTCCATAAATCCTGGTTGGAGGATTCTTGGAATCTGCAGGGAATGAGCAGGACATCAGGAATCTTCCAACCAGGATTGCTGGCAAACCAGGGAATTTAAGGAAAGTTACATGAATTTTGCAACCCTAGTTTGGAACCACCTTTTACACTTGTTCCTGTTAAAGGTTACAGGGACTCTGGCTGTTACACTACAGTGATTGACCTATCACTAACTGACCTTTTCCCTTTGTCTATATTTCAGGTTCTGCCGCAAAAGAGTTTTTCACAAAATCAAAGCTACCTATTCTTGAACTATCCCACATTTGGTAAGTATTCAAAGGTGTACTATTGGCTTTAGGTGAGATATGTAATGATGAAATTATATTAGTTTTAATCCAGGAAGCAATACTAAAGAATGGAAAATATAACCTTCGATAACTCCTCTTCAATGAATGAATTTGGCTACCTCTTGCTCAGTTAATGAGTTCACAAGGGATTCCAGCAGTTTGCAATGCATGAGTGGGTTTTTACATAAAACATTTTTTCTCACATTCTTTGCATTACAGGGAGCTGTCGGATTTTGATAAAGACGGGGCGTTGACACTGGATGAGTTCTGTGCTGCATTTCATCTGGTTGTTGCTAGGAAAAATGGCTATGACCTTCCCGAAAAGCTGCCGGAGAGTCTTATGCCAAAGCTTATTGACTTGGATGACTCAGCAGGTAATAGCTCGTACTCTCCTACTGCTATATATTCAGAATCTGTCAAAATCTGGCCTGGGGGACCATCTGCTGCAGACAGTTGATTTATGAAACACGGAGAGAAATAAGTGTGATTGAATGGAACAGTCATCCTGATGGTATAAATGTTCCATGTTCTAGAGGTTCCAGACCAGGCCCCTGATGTGGGCTACTCGGGCTCCCCCGTGGAGGTGACCCCCAACAAGTCCCCCATGCCCTCACTCAACCAGACCTGGCCTGATCTCAACCAGGGCAACGAGGTTGGACACAGCATCACCCCATGTTATCACTGTAGAAATGGACATAGTTGAACTTTTGCCATTCAAGCATTTTGTAAATGACTTCTCAATTAAGTGATCAAAAAGGCTCTTTCCATTGTGAGGTGTTAGTACCTATCCTCTTGCAGGACTTTCCTGATTCAGTACCTTTCTTATCCATTTCTGAGAAACACCACTTAGTACTTACTTAATTTACATACTGTAGCTGTTTTGTCAGAAAGCTGCAATTGTTGATATTCTCAATCAGTCCCAAAGTCAGTTTGCTCCATTTCCGTTTAGCTAGTTATCACTAACCAGGTTTTAGCCAACATCCATCCCATCCTCACTACTAATGGATGATATGTGATGATAAATGCAGTTCATCACCCCTCCTGTGGGAGAGCAGTGGGGTTTGTAACTGGGTTGGGAATCATCCTGTGTGTGATGATCCATTGAAATGCCTGTGGTGCTGATTTATTTCTGCTCTGTCTCTCTAGCAGTGGGAGACTTTTAGTGAACGCTCCTCCAGCTCACAAACTCTGACCCAATTTGATTCTAACATTGCACCAGCTGACCCTGTAAGTCAATCACTTAGTTTGCCTGTTTCAGTATTAATGATGATATTAACCCTTGGCCCCTTGAGATCTCTCTCTTAGAGTGCATGTACTTAATTCTACTGAATCTGCCCCAACAGCGGTGTCAATGTGATTTTGCTTGCTTAGCTTATTGGATACTCTACTTTTTTTCTGTCCCATATTAAGAATATGACATTGTGGGCTCTACAATATATTTATTTATTTCACCTTTATTTAACTAGGCAAGTCAAGGTCCGGTCTATTTGATAATTTATAGCAGTATGAAACATATTTTCCATATCTTCTGGTTTATTAAATCTGCATAATTGCCACACATATAAGCCTTTTCTAACCTTATAAACTGTTCTGACAGTATGAAAATAGTTATCTTTACAGCCAGAAGGGGAATGGATAGATTCCTTAAGGCATTATTATTGTGAGCTAATGATCAAACAAGACACATTTGTCCTTACAGGATACAGCTATTGTCCACCCTGTTCCCATTCGCATGACCCCAAGCAAGATCCATATGCAAGAGATGGAGCTGAAGAGAACCGGAAGTGGTAAGATAGTTTCCCCATATGATAAGAGCGCGTAAACATACACTGAGCTCTGTCCTCTAAAGCAGTGTTCACTTTTGAGACTCCAACTAGCAACTCTCCAGACTTTTACTGGGAAGTAGTGAAGGGACCTTCTTCTTAAAAAAAATAAAAGAAATACTGTTAAGGGAATTTACTGTTTTTCTTTCTCATTCCTGCAGACCACACACATCCTACCAGTCCTCTGATGGCTAAACCACCTGAGCTCTCTGAAGAAACCAAGCTTGCCACCTCTATGAAGTTTGTAACTGCTAACTCTGGTAAGTGTCAAGGGATGTGTCATTATCATAAAGAACTTAGGACCGTGGCAATTTGTAGGTAGATCTATTGTAGAAAATATGTCATGTGACCATAATTATATTGCATTTCCTTGAGGCATGGTTTAACATACAATACTCATATTTTCTCTCCTAAAGGTGATGGTTATAGCAGTTCAGATTCATACACTTCAGATCAAGACCCAATTACAAGTGTTGTAACAAGACAAAGGTAAGTTGGTCTCAATGTCTGGCGATAATAGATGCTTTGTTTATTGAAGAGCTTTTGAACATTAAGCTCACTAGCTGTGTTGTCTGCGTTGTAGGTCTAATTCTGGGACCTCTCCTGAAGGTCTAAAGGTGGTGGCTGCCCCCCCACCACCCCCTCCCAGACCCAACGCCTCCCACTCCCGCTCCTCCTCGCTAGACATGAACAGAAACTTTGCCGCTCACCCCACAGGGCCACAGCAATCCGGAGTCGTGGCCTGCCCTCCAGCCATACCTCCTAGACCACTACCCACGCAGGTAGAAAGCCAAAACATAAGTCAATTTCATAGCAGAAGAGATGTTGCCTCCTCTGGGTAGTCTTTAATAGGAAATGTACATATTGAAATGCTGAAATCTCCTCACTTTGTCTTTATCTTGTTCGTACGCTCTTCACTCTACACAGACTACTTAAAGTCATTTAGCATGTATTCTCCAGTTCAAGGTTGTTTTCAACATGCAGTGTTAAGTCTGAACTCTGTCTATCCTATCCCCTTTGTCCCCAGACCTCTGGTCCACATAGTGGGCATCGCTCAGATGAGGGCCTGGCAACTCACTCCACTACCTCGCCCCAGCAGATCCCAGAGCAGCCCAACTTCGCTGACTTCAGTCAGTTCCAGGCATTCGCTGCCTCAGATCAGCCCAGTGACGACGAGGAGAAGCACCCAGAGAGTCTGCCAGTGAGTCAGACATACAGTACAATACAGAACCTGTTCTATCAGCTGTGCTCTGTGATAAGAAAAGAGACAGACTGTGTGTGCTCCGTTCACAGGGAGAGAAGTCTACAGAAGGGGCTGGGCCTTTGAGAACTGTGAAGATTGACAACCAGGAAGAGAGAGCTGCAGCTACTGTGAACTCTGTAAGTAGTGGACTTACTGAGACCATGATGCCAATACTGGGGGCCTAAATGTCCTGATTTGTTCAGATGATTTCTACAGTATGTTTGTTTTTTCCCTGTCAGGCCAAAGGGTCCATCATGGCCCCCCCACCCAAGCCTGTCCGCCGGAGACTGAAGTCCGAGGACGAACTCCAGGATGAGGCCCTCCCCCCGAAGTCTAACGTCATAGCCACTGTTCTAGCTACACTGCCATCCATTCCCAGGTAGGAACAGGGGTTTCAAAGGAATCTGAATAGTGACTGGTCTGTGGTTGTTGATTATACATTAAAGTTTGTAATTGACATTAGCAACGAAATGAAAATCTCTTGAATACTTTTTACAGGTCTATTGGTAAGGATAAAAAAGCAATTCAAGCCTCTATCAGAAGAAACAAGGAAACCAACACAGTCTTGGCCAGACTCAACAGTGAATTACAGCAACAGCTAAAGGTATAGGAGTGATCACAAAAATACATGCATGTGAGCTACTGTTACTAAAATGAACCTGATGCTTGTTTTGGAAAATGTTATCTTCACGAAATCAAAGTCTTTAACAAGGTTAAACTTTAGTCCTTTAATTTTAATTTGAGGGTTGTTTATCTTGTTGTTTTTAATTCATAGGACTTACTAGAAGAGAGGATATCTTTGGAGGTTCAACTGGAACAGCTCAGACCATTTTCCCATTTGTAACCTGTGTGTGTGAGGAGGACAAGTCCATGAGAGAAGATAGGAGAGACCTGAAGAGGCCTTTTGTGTGATGCACATGTTGTTTCCCTCTATCTCCACTGGCCACTCCCTCTGCATTCTGCTGTCCCTTCTGTGGGAACCAGATGGGCTGTCTGACTGACTGACTGACTGACTGACTGACTGACTGGCGGTCTGTCTGACTGACTGACTGACTGACTGACTGGCGGTCTGTCTGACTGACTGACTGGCGGTCTGTCTGACTGACTGTCTGGCGGTCTGTCTGACTGACTGGCGGTCTGTCTGACTGACTGGCGGTCTGTCTGTCTGACTGACTGACTGGCGGTCTGTCTGACTGACTGACTGGCGGTCTGTCTGACTGACTGATTGGCGGTCTGTCTGACTGACTGACTGGCGGTCTGTCTGACTGACTGGCGGTCTGTCTGACTGACTAGCTGACTGACTGGCGGTCTGTCTGACTGTCTGGCGGTCGCTCTCATCAGACAGAGAACAGTCTTTCCAAAGGGGCTGGGATGGGAATGTTACAAATATTGGCACTTTTATTTATCAAAGAAATAACAAAGATGATTGTAGACGTCAATCCCTTATACTATAGCACAGGCCCCGAGGCCAGGCGGACAGGCACTGAACTGGAACTTGAGTCATGGGGTACTGAAGGCCGAGTTCCCTCCCCGATTCTTCCCCATGATGACAAGTGTCCAGTAGAGGAGCACTCTGTGGTCTGCCTGTGCTGTGTGTGGGCCTGATCGCCTGGGGCCTGTCGAGGACAGATAATCATGCCAGTGAAGGCATTGGGAGAGGAGAGGGGAGGAGTCTATAGGAGATTATTCTCTATCCTGGAGCGCCTTGGACTGATCATGTGACAAGAATTCATTCATGTTCCAGTTTATTACAGCATCCCACTACGTGGAGGTCTATTCTGTCCATGTGCATCTCTGTGTATACGTGTGTGTACTGTATGTATGGTGTGTGTGTGTGTGTGTGTGTGTGTGTGGATTTATGTGGGCAGGCAATGGTTACATAAACGGCATGATGAAACGAGTGTATGTATGCATTTTTTTCTTCTTCCACTAGTCTTCTGCAATTTAATCTGTAACAAAATGAGCTGTGTTACTATGTAAAGTGATTGACCCCCAGATGACAGACCACTTTTTTGTTTTCGCTCCTGGCTCTGTAGTTGCTCATGCTGACGCTGCCTGTGCCTCCCACGGAACATAATCTGAATCAGTCCTGCCCCAAACACAAAGTTCCCTGTGAGATATGATAACCAACTATGGAAGTGAGACCTGAATGGAACGACTGCACTTTTCCCCCGTTTTTTCTTTTTGTATTGCATGTTGTTCATGCTCTTATCTAGTATGAAGACGGCGCTTAAATACAAACCACTTGATTTCTACCTGTATACTGTATCTTACCTAGTCTGACATTTGTGTTGGTACTTACACCTTGTATAACGGTCTATTTTTGTTTTCCTGGAACTTCCTGTGTTTTCTTAACCTGTCCTCAAAAGCCTTACTCCTGGCGTTCAGGTTTCCGCTGTAATCTATTCTCCCTGTATTGAACCAAGTTGAGCCTTCTTTTCCCTGCTGTTCAGGTTGATGTACTGTATAAGGGGTATGTTGTATATTGTATATGATACACACCTTTTGATCTCATATGTACATTTGCATTAATTGCTGATTAACAGCAAATATTCTATTTAATTGCTTATATTATGGCTGTGTGATCATAGATGTTTAACTGCATGGATGTATCTGCAGAATGAACTAGCAGCTGTGTGATTTTTACACAAAATAAAAATGGCACAATATTTTAACAGCCTTTTTCCAGTACTCTTCTTTTTTTATTGCTGATTTGACTCAGGCAGTCACAAGGAAGAACTTACAAACATGTGTATTGCTACATTTTAACACTTGATATCAATTTATGCATTCCAGTCTGACATCCAAGATAACTTCTCCTCTGATGTAACATTTCTCAAGTAAAATATAATAGTATGTATAAGCTAGAAGTATAAGCCTAAGTGTTGTTGTCCATTAGTTTACTCCAATTAGGGGAAGGGTGGTAGGGATAGGGGGAAAAAAAAAAATATATATACACATATACAATATGTATACAGTACCAGTCAAAAGTTTGGACACCTACTGATTCAAGGGTTTTCTTTATTTTTACTATTTTCTACATTGTAGAATAATAGTGAAGACATAAACTATGAAATAACACATTGAATCGTGTAGCAACCAAAAAAGTGTTAAACAAATCAAAATATATTTGAGATTCTTCTAAGTAGCTACCCTTTGCCTTGACAGCTTTGCACACTCTTGGCACAGCTATTTTTAGGTCTCCAGAGATGTTCAATTGGGTTCAAGTCTGGGCTCTTGCTGGGCCACTCAAGGAAATTCAGAGACTTGTCCTGAAGCCACTCCTGCGCTGTCTGCTTAGGGTCATTGTCCTGTCTGAGGTCCTGAGCGCTCAAGGATCTCTGTACTTTGCTCTGTACATCTTTGCTTTGATCCCGACCAGTCTCTCAGTCCCTAACGCAGAAAAAACATCCCCACAGCATGATGCTGCCACCACCATGCTTCACCGTAGGGATGGTGCCAGGTTTCCTCCAGACGTGACGCTTGGCATTTAGGCAAAATAGTTCAATCTTGGTTTCATCAGACCAGAGAATCTTGTTTCTCATGGTCTGAGAGTCTTTAGGTGCCTTTTGACATTTTACTGAGGAGTGGCTTCCGTCTGGCCAATCTACCATAAAGGCCTGATTGGTGGAGTGCTGCAGAGATGGTTGTCCTTCTGGAAGTTTCTCCCATCTCCACAGAGGAACTCCAGAGCTCTGTCAGAGTGACCATCACCTCCCTGATCAAGGCCCTTCTCCCCTGATTGCTCAGTTTGGCCGGGCGGGCAGCTCTAGGCAGAGTCTTGGTGGTTCCAAACTTCTTCCATTTAAGAATGATGGAGGCCACTGTGTTCTTGGGGACCTTCAATGCTGCAGACCTTTTTTTGTACCTTTCCCCAGATCTGTGCCTCGACACAATCCTGTCTCGGAGCTCTACTGACAATTCGTTCGACCTCATGGCTTGGTTTTTGCTCTGACATGCACTGTCAACTGTGGGACCTTATATAGACAGGTGTGTGCCTTTCCAAATCATGTCCAATCAATTGAATTTACCACAGGTGGACTCCAATCAAGTTGTAGAAACATCTCAAGGATGATCAGTGTAAACATGATGCAGCGGAGCTCAATTTCGAGTCTGATAGGGAAGGGTCTGAATACTTATGTTTTTTATTTTTAAGACATTTGCAAACATTTCTAAAAAACTGTTTAAGCTTTGTCGTTATGGGATATTATATGTTGATTGCTGAGGATATAAAAAAAAAGAAATCAATTTTAGAATAAGGCTGTCTTAAAGTAATGATGGACTGTCGTTTCTCTTTGCTTATTTGAGCTGTTCTTGCCATAAAATGGACTTGATCTTTTACCAAATAGGGCTATCTTCTGTATACCACCCCTACCTTGTCACAACACAACTGATTGGCTCAAACGCATTAAGAAGGAAAGGCACACCTGTTAATTGAAATGCATACCAGGTGACTACCTCATGAAGCTGGTTGAGAGAATGCCAAGAGTGTGCAAAGCTGTCATCAAGGCAAAGGGTGGCTATTTGAAGAATCTCAAATATAAAATATATTTTGATTTGTTTAACACTTTTTTGTTTACTATGTGATTCCATATGTGTTATTTCATAGTTTTGACGTCTTCACTATTATTCTACAATGTAGAAAATAGTAAAAATAAAGAAAAACCCTTGAATGAGTAGGTGTGTCCAAACTTTTGACTGGTACTGTATATTTACAAAAAAAGATATGGGGGATTGGAAATGATGCAGACAATTACATTGATGGAAGCCACAATATTAAAGCTGATCTACCATAAAAAATAATCAGAGAAAGTGGTGGTGTTTTTGTCAGGTCATTTGTTTATGTGTATTGCTTGGTAGTAAGCTGCTGTGCAGAAGAGCACAAATACAAAAGGAAAAGTAGCAATTCACTTGAAACGAGGAGCAGTGAGCAGGTTTTAGTCAAGGGTAACATTAGTACTATATTCTTCTTTCTCCTCACGAAAACAGGACTTGGTGCGCCTTTTATAGTTAGGTTTTTACAGCAGGATGAACTCTAGTTACACAGAACATATAGCAATACAATAACTTGTAATATCAACAATGATGAGGACATAGGTTTTACTTCTATTCTCTTCTCTTATAGTTGACTTGTGAAATTATCCTGAACATTCTGCTTTGACTAGCGATGCACGGTGGGGTGCCCTCCGATGTCTACTTCACGACTCTGGAGAGGGAATAAAGTAAGTTAAAATACATTTCTTGTCATTGTCTCATGGTGCAGTTGAACACATTTTTTAAAATAAAGCCTGGTTTGATTTGCAATATTATTTGTCCAGTAGCAGAGCAGCACTCACACAGTGGTCTGTTTGTAGCGGTCAAGGGCCTCCTGTGCCACCACCTCTGAGAACTTAGGGTCGTTCCAGGGAATGTCTCCAGGCACACTGAAGGTCATGGCAGGGGTGTCAAACAGCTGCACAGACACGTTGGTGTCCCCTGGGTTTTCAGGGGCCTCCGTGTCCTTGGACATGACCTTGGAGGAGATGAAGACAATTAAACATACGTCTATTCATAAGACCATGATACAAAGAAATGGGTACGATGTAAGATACTTGGTAATAGAAACCCCATGCAGACTATGGAGTCTCACTGTTTCGATCTTGAAGATTCCATCCTTGCTGTCGGTGTTGTTTGCCAGGGCAGACACCCAGCCAAACTGCTTGCTGAACAGGTCCAGCAGGCTGGAGGTGTTTGACATCTGCTCCTCAAACCTCCTCAGCTGCCTGCTGTACTCCTGGGTGAACTTCTCAGCCATGGCCAGGGCCTGCTCCAGCTCCTCCTTCAGAGGACCAGCCAGAGGCTTCTTCCCCGAGCAGTCTGAACGAGAGAACAGCACTTCATGTAATACACAACTAAATAGTCAACAGGTTCGCTGGTGTCCCTTTAGCCCTATGTCAGCAACTTCTGGTGTGATGTAATAGCAACTTGTTGTACTTGACTCAGCCAAGGCATGGCTTTGTGGTATCATAGAGACTTGAAAATGTAGGTGTACAAGCCAGTGCATGTTGCATGATGAATGCTACTCCCTATGATGTCAGTGCCAAGGATAATCCTGCTTGCTTTTGTTCAGACCTGTTCTGACCTCTGAGTTATGAAGATATTGGGTTATGTGAATGTTGCAAAAGAGAAAAGACAAACAAATCTGAAGGGCTTTACCAATATCCTGGATCGCTACACATTTTTCACACTCTCCTCGCAGTTTAATGCAGCCAGCAGAATTGCGACGTATCTCTCTGCAGGTCATACCGGAAGGCTTTGTCACAACAACATCCTCATTCACACTCCCATCTGTGGAAAAAAAGACCCAAAGGTAATTTTATGTGAATCTTCACAACATATTATGGTCGAATAACAATTGTTTAATTAGGACTGAGGCATACCTTCTGAGGGGTTGATGTCAAAGTTAGCATCTGTGTCCATGACAGGCCCCATGGAGCCAAAGATATTCCAGGCCATGTCCATCATGGGAGCGAACATGTTGTGGAACCCATGGAAGTCTGGGTCCTGCAGAGGGGACCTGACCACACGGGAGTGCACCTCGCCTGCCTTTGCCCTCTCTGCTCTCTCATTGGCCCTCTCACCCTGACCCCAGATGCTGGGCATGCGGAAGGGGCTGGGGAACATGGGAGGGTTGAGGGAGCGCATGTGGTCAAACACCCTCATGCTGTCCATGAAGATGCTGTCCACCCCATCGGCCACCTTCGAGTAGCGCTCCTCCAGGTTCTGGAACCTCCAGCTCTGCTCCTGGTCCTCCCGCTCCAGAACATCCATGTTCTCCCCATTGATCCAGATGGAGAATGGAGAGGTCCTGTTCAGAACCTCCTCCAGCTGAGAGAAGACAGGACAAAGCAGCTAGTACAACAGTGACCTATTTTATTTGGAAGGATTGTATAATAATAGCTTAAGCACATTGATCAGCTGTACTGCATGTCCCTGTGTAAGTCTTGCTCACAAAACATATTTGAGCTACAATTGCAAACCAATGTGGAGATTGATTGATGATAGTTCTGTGTAGTTGAGGCGGTACCTGTCTCCCGACCAGTCCGGCGCCACTACTGCAGGTCCTGGAGTAGTACTTGATACAGGTGTTCTTCAGGCAGGGCTTGCACTCCTCCCACAGAGACTGCATGGTGCCATTACACACCTCCTGCTCCTCACTCAGCTTCGTCTCCATCTCCTGAGCTGCCTTCAGAGCATCCTGACAAACAAGCACAGCAACAGGGTCAGTGGTTTGGAACTACTGTAATCACTCACCCAGGAACCTGTATTAGGTGATGAATTGCTTACACAATGTGCAAGTTGATCACTGACTTATTTTTGGCCAAAATAGTGACAAAAGCTCAACATGTCCAGTATGATGCTCAAATGCACTGTACCTCTTTTTGCTGTGTAGTTTTCTCCAAGGCACTCAGGAACTTCTCGTGGTCCTCTCCAGACCTCTCCATCATGGTCTTCATCTCCTTCACCCCACTGATAGCATTCTCTATCTGCTTGTCCAGGTACTTCATCCCAAGGAGGGAAATCTCTGCCAATAAGAATTGTTGCTTAAAAATAAATCTCCACAGTGACTCCGATGGACTCAATATTCACAGAACATCCCGCATCAGTATTTAAAAAATACTTAGTTCTCAGATGACTTACGGCTTAGATCGTCCTTGGATGGAGGCAGCAGACACTGAGCAGAGACAAGGAGCAGGGCGAGGCCCACTATTGACCCAAAGACTTTCATCCTTACTGTTTCTCATATACCAAGTGACTGATGCAGTACAAACCTGAAAAACAGATATGATACAATGTCACTGGCAAATCTAGATCTAATACATTTATGGGGGGGAAAGTCTATGGAAGCTACTTGGGGCTGAGGGTATTTTGGATGTAATGATTACGCCTCAGGAAAAGCACTGCAAAATGACCTCATAGTCCACGTCTGACTTTGGTGTTGTTGTGATGTTGATTATACCCACTAGAGGGTAATGTTGCACATCTAACAATAATAATAGTGTGACTAGGGTTACAAAGTTACCGGAATCTTCAGTAATTTTGGTAATTAAGAGAAAATCTATGGCAATCTATCGTAACTTTGGTAATACAAATACATACTGACATAGTAAAATAAATAAGTGTGAAAGAAATAAATATATAAAGGATATTTCATTCTGAAACCCTCATATTAAACACCAATGGTATTTACTAAGTTGATGGTTTATATTAAAGATAATGTTTTACAGCTTTGTCATTACATTTTTTATTTGAATATCATCTTATTTAATTATTTCATATATTTTACATGTGCGAAGGCCACACAGAAGGCCAGAGATAGAAGTACCCAAAAGGCCACTAGATGTCTTGTGATAGATTACATAAAATACTTGAAAGATACCAAAATTCTGGTAGTTTACTGGTAAACTTCTGAAGTTTCCAGTAATATGCCCTCCCTTTGCAACCCTAAGTGTGACACAGCATAACTTAAAACCTTTTGCTAACGTTAGCAAATGTTATTCAAAGGATGCAGTGCGTTTAATCTGCATTACATCATATACCTTTGTCACGTTTGATACTTTTCAAATTGTGTTAATAAAGGTACAGACATTAGAGTCAGACGAGCCCTGTAGACATGGATACAATGTGAGGATTAGGAGACATTTATCTGACAGATAAACGTTTGTACGTTCCTCCTGTTGGAGTGGAACAGAAACAAACAAATCCTTCTCCACTAATCTCTGTGATTATTCCAGGCAGCCCTATAATCCCTTGTGTATTTAACACTCACTGTGCAATTTACAAGAAAACACTGAATCATTGAGAAACAAAAGTCCTCTTCATTTGGAGAAAAAATGACGCATCCTTCCAATTTTGGCACCAGATATTCAATGGTATGTCGGAACTCTAATTATAGAACTCAAAAGTAGAACACAGAATTCTGGTCCATCACACAGATGGACTGAGTCCTGTATAGAAGGGATTTGCACATGTTAATAACCTCCTAACAGGGAAAAACATGGGGTCAGAGAATTGCAGCGTCCAGATTTGATTACTCTCTGCTCTGTCCATCTCACACAAACTTGCCCTGCGCAGCTAGAATATCAACTCAATAACAATTCTCTATAACTCAGAGTGAATTTGTGCCTTTGAGCAAAAGATGTTGAACTGAATTATCCAAATGTGTACACTCTTTATAGCAAATTGGATAAAGCTTGCAGCCTTAAAATATTTTGATATACTCAGTACATATCTGGGTCATTTCCAGGCAGATGCAGCAGTGTTGATACTAGAGGTCACCCATGAGTAAGAAACAGGAAATACAGTCCCATCACTGTGCAACATTTCTGCAAGGTCAAGAGTTAAACATATTGATAATAATAAACAACCTATGGTACAATAAAAGCTTGAGCCCCAGGTAGAATTCGAAAGAGAAATCTATCATTCCAACGATAACCCTATCCTAATATGCAGCAAAAGGCATCTGCACACAGTGCTGGTACCCTGAAACATGAGACACAATTTTCCAGGCAGCCAAGGACCACTCACCTCCCTGTGGATCTTGCCTCTTCAGAGCGGATGAAGCGCAGTGAGGCTGTCCGCCGCTAGGTATTTATACAGGACCTAGCGGTGATGTTAGCACTGTGATTCACTCCCATAAAATGCCCTGTGGCTTTGGACTTTTCTAGAACTTGTATAATCTCCGGCCAGAGCTCGGAGCTGAGCCATGGAGCAGCCAGGAGTGGGCAGTGTTGCACTGTGTGTCACTAAGCTCCCTCTAGCTTCTCTCTGCATGGCTCATGGGAGACAAACCAAATAGAAGGATGATTGTGTGAGCTGTGTGGGTCAGTAAACAAGGGTGGGGGAGGGTGCTTTAAAGATGATTGCTCTTTATATTATCACTCATCCCCATGACTCAGGGCTGAATGACTGAATAACGTGGACGCATCAGCATACACACACAGAAGGATAGTGCAAAATGAGTCCCATTCAAATCATAATGGCATCAGCCAAACAAGTGCATACATTTACTGTAACACCCTGTAGCTCTAATTCAAAGCATATCCCCACACTTGGCTCAAGCACAACAGTCCCAGGCTTCAGCCTCACACAAATGCTTGACCAAGCACATGTACTTACGGGAATGGTGTGTTTCGAGTGGGAACCTGCTGCATCTGAAAGGTTATAAAAGGGTTCGTTAAATCTGTTACTTCACGCCCTAATTGTACTGTTGCCAAGCTGAGCTCTACGGTCAGGCCAGTGACCAGATGTATCCAGTTATGACTATGCTTTATTTTTTCCTGTGACGCAAGATCATTACATAAGCTCATTCAGAATTGAAATGATCTAAAAGGAGGAAATGGAAAAACTAGATTTCTGGCTGCATCCCATCCAAAACACACAGAGAATAATAAGTTCTGGGTCCTAATGTTGAATAACTGCTAGGGTTTGGCACTGTGTCGGCAGTCTTCAAGGGCTGATTTGTGGTTTCAAATAAGAGGAAAGGTAAAAGTTCAGTTGTCTAGGACATTACAGCTGGAGTGTCCTAGCAACAAGACCTCAATTGGTCTAGTTTTATATATATATATTTTTATTTTTATTTTTTTGGGAATGTGGGTATGAACTTGACACAACAGTTTTAAGCATAGAAGTGAGATAATATATAAACAAACTTGAATAATGCCCTTGGCATAGGTACGTTTTAGAAGAGAAAACCCACTGGGCACACACTTGTTGAATCAACGTTGTTTCCACGTCATTTAAATGAAATGACGTTGAACCAACATGGAATAAACGTTAAATTGACGTATGTGCCCAGTGAGAAGGACCCAGTCAAGTTTAGTGTCTACCTCCAGCCGGACCCACGGCTAAGTACGACGTGCCGGAGTCTCCATCCTTCTCCTCCTCTCCTTCCTCCCATCCACCTCTCCTCCCCAATGTATGTGACCAGCCAAGGTCATCCACAGACTGAGACCCAGCCAGGGGTCTGTGGAGGCATGCAGTACATACTCTGTCTCTCTCACAGCGATAAAGTGTTGCTGGGAATCACAACAGCTGCTCCCTCTGAGAACAGTTGCATTCTATTCTTCTCATAATAACACTGATTGCAAAGCATGCTGTTGATTTGTATCACTTTACTTAATCATGCCTTGTTATACAGTGGCTGATCACAGCAGTGGGTTTTTAGCCTCAATATACAGGCTTCTCCTGGCAGGTTGGATGAAAGATTATGATGTCTATGTAATACAAGTGCCTTTGGCAATGATGCTTTCCATTAGTATCAGGGTCTATGCTCACTAAGCCAAAATCTATTTTTAGGGACAGACATGGTAATATACATTTTCTGCTGATTCATGCTGACTCTCAGTGTTGTCATAATGTATTGTCCTACAGTATTAATCAAGGTTCCTGGTAACTTCACATAGTGTCCACTGGGTGGCAGTAGATCTGATGTAAGAATTGCTGAGACGTTTATGTTTTCTCTCTCTCTCTCTCTCTCTCTCTCTCTCTCTCTCGCTCTCTCTCTCTCTCTCTCTCTCTCTCTCTCTCTCTCTCTCTCTCTCAATTCAAATTTTTTTTTCAATTTAAGGGCTTTATTGGCATGGGAAACGTGTGTTAACATTGCCAAAGCAAGGGAAGTAGATAGTAAACAAAAGTGAAATAAACAATAAATATTAACAGTAAACATTACACTCAGAAGTTTCAAAAGAATAAAGACATTTCAAATGTCATATTATGTATATATACAGTGTTGTAACAATGTGCAAATAGTTAAAGTACAAATGGGAAAATAAATAAACATAAATATGGGTTGTATTTACAATGGTGTTTGTTCTTCACTGGTTGCCCTTTTCTTGTGGCAACAGGTCACAAATCTTGCAGCTGTGATGGCACACTGTGGTTTTTCACCCAGTAGATAAGGGAGTTTATCAAAATTGGGTTTGTTTTCGAATTCTTTGTGGATCGCTGTAATCTGAGGGAAATATGTGTCTCTAATATGGTCATACATTTGGCAGGAGGTTAGGAAGTGCAGCTCAGTTTCCACCTCATTTTGTGGGCAGTGTGCACATAGCCTGTCTTCTCTTGGGAGCCAGGTCTGCCTACGGCGGCCTTTCTCAATAGCAAGGCTATGGTCACTGAGTCTGTACATAGTCAAAGCTTTCCTTAAGTTTGGGTCAGTCACAGTGGTCAGGTATTCTGCCACTGTGTACTCTCTGTTTAGGGCCAAATAGCATTCTAGTTTGCTCTGTTTTTTTGTTTGTTCTTTCCAATGTGTCAAGTAATTCTCTTTTTGTTTTCTCATGATTTGGTTGGGTCTAATTGTGTTGTTGTTGTTGTTGTTGTTGTTGTTGTTGTTGTCCTGGGGCTGTGTGGGGTCTGTTTGTGTTTGTGAACAGAGGCCCAGGACAAGCTTACTTAGGGGACTCTTCTCCAAGTTCATCTCTCTGTAGGTGATGGCTTTGTTATGGAAGGTTTGGGAATCGCTTCCTTTTAAGTGGTTATAGAATTTAACGGCTCTTTTCTGGATTTTGATAATTAGCGGGTATTGGCCTAATTCTGCTCTGCATGCATTATTTGGTGTTTTACGTTGTACACGGAGGATGTTTTTGCAGAATTCTGCATGCAGAGTCTCAATTTGGTGTTTGTCCCATTTTGTGAATTCTTGGTTGGTGAGCGGACCCCAGACCTCAGAACCATAAAGGGCAATGGGTTCTATAACTGATTCAAGTATTTTTAGCCAGATCCTAATTGGTATGTCAAATTTTATGTTCCTTTTGATGGCATAGAAGGCCCTTCTTGCCTTGTCTCTCAGATCGTTCACAGCTTTGTGGAAGTTACCTGTGGCGCTGATGTTTAGGCCGAGGTATGTATAGTTTTTTGTGTGCTCTAGGGCAACGGTGTCTAGATGGAATTTGTATTTGTGGTCCTGGCAACTGGACCTTTTTTGGAACACCATTATTTTTGTCTTACTGAGATTTACTGTCAGGGCCCAGGTCTGACAGAATCTGTGCAGAAGATCTAGGTGCTGCTGTAGGCCCTCCTTGGTTGGTGACAGAAGCACCAGATCATCAGCAAACAGAAGACATTTGACTTCAGATTCTAGTAGGGTGAGGCCGAGTGCTGCAGACTGTTCTAGTGCCCTCGCCAATTCATTGATAGATATATTGAAGAGGGTGGGGCTTAAACTGCATCCCTGTCTCACCCCACGGCCCTGTGGAAAGAAATGTGTGTGTTTTTTGCCAATTTTAACCGCACACTTGTTGTTTGTGTACATGGATTTTATAATGTCGTATGTTTTTTCCCCCAACCCCACTTTCCATCAATTTGTATAGCAGACCCTCATGCCAAATTGAGTCAAAAGCTTTTTTGAAATCAACAAAGCATGAGAAGACTTTGCCTTTGTTTTGGTTTGTTTGTTTGTCAATTAGGGTGTGCAGGGTGAATACGTGGTCTGTCGTACGGTAATTTGGTAAAAAGCCAATTTGACATTTGCTCAGTACATTGTTTTCACTGAGGAAATGAACTAGTCTGCTGTTAATGATAATGCAGAGGATTTTCCCAAGGTTGCTGTTGACGCATATCCCACGGTAGTTATTGGGGTCAAATTTGTCTCCACTTTTGTGGATTGGGGTGATCAGTCCTTGGTTCCAAATATTGGGGAAGATGCCAGAGCTAAGGATGATGTTAAAGAGTTTAAGTATAGCTAATTGAAATTTGGGGTCTGTATATTTTATCATTTCATTGAGGATACCATCAACACCACAGGACTTTTTGGGTTGGAGGGTTTGTATTTTGTCCTGTAGTTCATTCAATGTAATTGGAGAATCCAGTGGGTTCTGGTAGTCTTTAATAGTTGATTCTAAGATTTGCATTTGATCATGTATATTTTTTTGCTGTTTGTTCTCTGTTATAGGGCCAAAAAGATTGGAGAAGTGGTTTACCCATACATCTCCGTTTTGGATAGATAGCTCTTCGTGTTGTTGTTTGTTTAGTGTTTTCCAATTTTCCCAGAAGTGGTTAGAGTCTATGGATTCTTCAATTACATTGAGCTGATTTCTGACATGCTGTTCCTTCTTTTTCCGTAGTGTATTTCTGTATTGTTTTAGTGATTCACCATAGTGAAGGCGTAGGCTCAGGTTTTCTGGGTCTCTATGTTTTTGGTTGGATAGGTTTCTCAATTTCTTTCTTAGGTTTTTGCATTCTTCATCAAACCATTTATCACTGTTATTACTTTTCTTTGGTTTTCTGTTAGAGATTTTTAGATTTGATAGGGAAGCTGAGAGGTCAAATATACTGTTTAGGTTTTCTACTGCCAAGTTTACACCTTCACTATTACAGTGGAACGTTTTGTCCAGGAAGTTGTCTAGAATGGATTGAATTTGTTGTTTCCTAATTGTTTTTTGGTAGGTTTCAACACTACTTTCCTTCCATCTATAGCATTTCTTAATATTATTCAGTTCCTTTGGCTTTGATGCCTCATGATTGAGTATTGCTCTGTTCAAGTAGACTGTGATTTTGCTGTGGTCTGATAGGGGTGTCAGTGGGCTGACTGTGAATGCTCTGAGAGACTCTGGGTTGAGGTCAGTGATAAAGTAGTCTACAGTACTACTGCCAAGAGATGAGCTATAGGTGTACCTACCATAGGAGTCCCCTCGAAGCCTACCATTGACTATGTACATACCCAGTGTGCGACAGAGCTGCAGGAGTCGTGACCCGTTTTTGTTGGTTATGTTGTCGTAGTTGTGCCTAGGGGGGCATATGGGGGAGGGAATGCTGTCACCTCCAGGTAGGTGTTTGTCCCCCTGTGTGCTGAGGGTGTCAGGTTCTTGTCCAGTTCTGGCATTTAGGTCGCCACAGACTAGTACATGTCCCTGGGTCTGGAAATGATTGATTTCCCCCTCCAGGATGGAGAAACTGGTCTGGCATAGGTCTGATCTGAGGGGGCCTAAATGGGATGTGGGCATGGTTGACTTGGGTAGGAGTTAATTGGTGGGGGTGGGGGTGTAGATGTGGTTGATGGTGCTGTGGTCTGGATGTAGGTCCTCTCTGCGGGGGTCCTCTATGTGTAGGTCCTGGGGGGGGTCCCGCAGGTCTGGGGGGGTGTCTCGCTGGTCTGGGCGGGGTGTCTGTTGATCTGTTGCTCCTGTGTGAGGTGTTGTGTCTGCGGTTGAGGGCGATATCCTTTAGGGTCCGGGCGAAGGTGGGCACTGCTGCCTTGTAAAGGTGGACCTGGTCATAAAGGCTGTTCACGTCCAGGGTGGAGTGGTGGGCCAGGTAGACATTTGGTTTTGATGCACAGTCACGGGAAATACTTGCGTTTACCCGCTGTATGGTAGCAGGGTGGAAGTCTTTTCGTGGTAACAGAGTTGAGATAACCACTTGTGCGTTGGGGAAAGTAGAAGAAGCTTTTTCTATCACTCCCTTGAGTGATGTGGCCACCCTTTCCTGCTGTGTTCTCAGGTCGTTTGTCTCTCTCTCTCTCTCTCTCTCTCTCTCTCTGAGTGTCAAAACTGTTCTCTTTTCAAATGCAGTCCAGACACAACCATAAAAATGCTACAAAACGTGTTACAAAAATGTAATCTTCAGTACTTATAAAGCAGAACAGTGTTTTTTTATTTGATTGTTTCTCTCACTGTTCTGTTTTATCGGCCAAGGCATTTAAATCACTGTGGGTTATAGCCTAGTCCCTCATGTTGACCCATTCAATTTGACTGCATGGACCATTTGTTTTGACAGTCTCTGAAGTTTGGCATTGAGATCAAAGTGTCCTTCTTGAAGTAATTATGCGCCTATCACACGTCACAACTCTAACTTGATATTCACACTTAATCTTTAGATCCACATGTCCTCAGTTTAGCTCAATATTGTGTTACCAGCTACTGCTTTTGTAATGTATCCTACAGTACTAATGCATAACATTACATAATTGGAAGTCAATGTCCCACATTTCCTGTTCCCTCCATAGTTTACATTACATAACTTCAGTTATTGGTCTTAAACCTAAGGGTGATAGCGTTCTGACCTTTATACACGTCATTAACTCCCACAGACCCACGTGACGCCGGCGCGTTTTGGACTTTGTTTATTTCTTCTGCATCCGTAGATACCAAACATAAGTCTGTATGATGAACGGGGGCTGAGTCCGAATGGTTTGAGCTACAAACCTCATGCACATGCACATGTAACGTGTTTTGCTCTATGATGCTCAAAAGAGTCATTAGCAGGTAAGGGGTTTTTCTAAAAATAATATCATATGTAGAACCAGGACATAGTGTCTATAATACTGTAATAAGCTCACAAACTTGCTGTCACAAACTCCACACAATTGTCACTGACTAGTTGGATATTCATTTTCCAGTGAGCAAAACAATTTCTGTACTTACATCATTCATATAAATTCATTTTTATCAGGTTTTTGCTTTGGCAGACCTTATTACCAATAAAACTCATGAATGCAACTGTTTATGTCAAATTGTTTTGTGTTCTACTGGTAGCCCTGGTTGTCCGTGAGGCTAAATATAATTGCTGCAAATATAAATGAAAGTCAGATAAATAAATGAAAAGCTGATTTTTGCTGGGGTCTCGGACTGATAGGGTTAATAGATCTCCTTCCAAACAGCTGAATTACAGCTACTATTAGAAACATGCAGGCCTCAACATCTGTATGTAAGTAAACACAAACTTGTTAAAAATAGTGGCTTCTAAACTCTAGCCAATATGGCCTCTCTCTGCATCACTGACAAATCAAACCAGTCATGAACTTCCCATTAATCAGTGGCCAGGCTATTTATTTGATAGCAGTTTTATGTTGATTTAATCTGTTATGGATTGAAACAAAGGGCCTCTCATAATAAACTCATGAAACTGGAATGTAGGCTATTTACAAGATGGCCGCCCCAGTAACAGTAATGAAAATACATTTAAAACACATTGGTTTATTCATCTCAACTACAGATGTGATGTTCTATTTAACTTGATAAATAACCAGAGGAAAGTGTTTAAATGAATGCTGACTGAAGCTGTTTGCATAGGGGCTAACATCATGCATATCGTTAGATTATACTAGTGATTATAATATTATGTCCGCTCTCAAAAGGCCATTTCACAGCGGGGAGAGGGCAACCTCTTACCTTGTGCTTATGTGATTGAAGCAAAAACACATGTCTGTTGTATGAAAATGTATGCACTCACTAACTGTAAGTCGCTCTGGATAAGAGCGTCTGCTAAATGACTAAAATGTAAAATGTCTTTAATCATACAACTGTCGCTGTCGCTCTCGCACGCTCTTTCTTTCTGAAATCTCTTTCAGCTCATGTTCTAAAGATGGAGCTTTATCAAATCAAGCTGGAACCCATTTCTTAAGAAACAAATTGCTTTCAGAACCTTTTCCAAACGAAGGATTCTTGGAGCATCTTGCAATGCTTATCTATCCATTGATTTACTAGCTGTTAGGATTCCCATCCAAGGTCACAACATTTTGTGCAGTCACTGCATTTAGAAAAACATCAGTAGAGCAGAATAAGACTGTAGCTCAGTTGGTAGAGCATGGCGCTTGCAACGCCAAGGTTGTGGGTTCGTTTCCCACAGGGGGCCAGTATGAAAATGTATGCACTCACTAACTGTAAGTCGCTCTGGATAAGAGCGTCTGCTAAATGACTAAAATGTAAAAATGTAAAACAATCACTAAAATATGTTGAGAATGGACCAAAGTGGACAAAAGGAATGAAAGGGTTTCTGTTTGAACGTATAGATGGACTCCATAGAGCAACTAGATAATTTACTCTGTATGGGCCCTGAGGTACTAGGAGCCAAGCAAAAGGTTTACTTAGAGGTTAGAGAAAAGTGACCTCATTTAGGTAGAGTAATAATCTTAAAATTGTTCAGTGATGGGATAACTTCTTCCTGCCCTGTCCAGATCCTCTCTGTACTTCCTCAGTCATCCGTGTCTTGGTGACTGTTGATGTGACTACTGCCCATATGGTTCACAGAGAAGCATCTGTTCTTCCTCTGGTCTGGTGCAAGAGTTCAGCCTGCTAACATTATAGCATCATGATATCATTGTTGGGAATAATTGATACCATAGTTGGCATTGCATGACCCATGGCTAATAATGCAGCCATATGGAGGGTAATTAGATGGTATTTGTTATTAATTAGGAAACTGCATACTGAGAAACTATTCCATTTAAATTCCAAAATAATATCCAATGTCCTTGCAATGATCAAAGACGACTGTTGGTGATTTAATTTGAGCAAATGTACTTTCCTCCCTCATAATCAGGATAAAAGGTAATACTTTGTATTGTATGTAAGTAAGTACGGCTGAGTTGAAAATCCAATGTGCTGTAATAAGTCTACTGACATATAATCTCACTCCAAGACAAATTGATGGATACATTGTATTATAAGTGAATTAAGCTGATGTTCTTCTTCTAAAGTGGTCTATAACCATCCAACTACATGTTTTCTGAAATGACTTGAGGTTTGCCTCTTTTCTTCTGGACATGAATTAGCCCTGACATGTCAGACATGGAGGAAAGTATTTCATTTTAAACAGCGGAGGGAGGCCATAGGCAGTAAAGGTGCCCATTCCTCCATGTTAAAACATTTGTTAGCAATTAGCCTGACCTGCAGAACGGACTTTCTATGCACCCTCCGTCCCTCCCTCTTCTTTCCCTCTCTCAGTCCCCCTTCCATCTCCCTCCCTCCCTCCCTCCCAGTCATGTTTCCCCAAGCTGCAGATGGTTACTGTCCAGGGTATTAGTTTATTCTGGCTCTGAGGGAGAGAGGCAGGAGGAGTAGCTGCCTTTAAGCAGATTAACTGTAGCATGTAGACGGGTAGTCTCCATTCACTAATAGACCTAGACTGTTTTATGTATGTGAACTGCAGTTCAAGTGAGAAGTTGCTAGTAAGAGAGAGAGCCCATGCTTGAAGAATTTCTACTGTAGTTGTTTAGAGAAAAGTCTGGCTGGATATATAGCAGTTGTAAATTAACAAGTAAGTCCTATGGATGAGTGTATACATTGTTAATGTAAATTAGACACAGTTCTTCCGTTACTTGTCCAGGAGGAGACTGTGCTGCAGAGAAGAGAGACTAGGACAGTCAGAGGCTGTTGTCTGGACAACAACTTCTTCACATCCTCACCAAAGCTGCCTTGAAGAATCACCATGAAAGGTAAAGTGGCTTTTGATGACGCTGTTGATGCTTTATTAGACTTCAGACTACTGCTTGCTGTGGAGGAATATAATATATTATGTAGGAGACTTGAAAGTGCACCGGTTGCACACAAATGTGCAGACAGCTTGCTTTTAAGACCAGTACCTCTCAGGATCCAGTGAAAACGTTGGTTTGTTGATCTTGGATGTGGAACATCCACCCCTTTGCTTTGAAAGCTCATTATTTCAAAAGCTCTCAGTTTCCAGCAGCCACACATTTGCTTTTGGGCTTCTTTAAAAAATCTTATATGAGCCCTATTGAAAGGATAACATTTTAATACTAACTTTTGTCAACATTGCATGATATAAGACTCTTAAGGGGCTTTGAAGAGGCTAAGAAATCTGCGGAGTCCTCTTGGAGAATTTGGGAGTAGCGACATGTGACTTTTGCTTTGGAAGATCTTATTAAGTGTTGAGGTATTTACAGAGGAACACACAGGTAGGAGGTCTCCTCATCTCTTGTTAGGAGCGTGCTCCATTGGAGCCGGGCTGCTAAACATGCAGTCTAACACATTCCTAATGTAAAACAGGAAAGAGGCACCTCGGTAGTGGAAGCAGCAGGTGTGTGGTTGGCACATATAGTACAGTAAAGTAAAGAGAACTCTGACTGGAGACACAGACTGTCATACAAGTACATGAATAGCACTGTTCAACACAGCACGTCTTATCTGGAAAGACAGATGCATTCCTTCGACAGAGACATTCAATCAGAATTCTTTGGCACATGACAGTTATCAGATGGTGATTTGAAAATGAAAGGTTGGTATTATACAAAACTACTGAGATTGCAGGAGAGAAGTTTGTTAGATTACAGAACAAGACCCTTGTTAGTATTACCAGGCTGTTTCTATCATGAGATGCCCAAAACGTTTTCCTAGAGAAAAAAAGAGGGCAGGTTTATGGTGTCATTTGATTTCAAGTAAACTCTCTCACTCCACTACAGAGGAACCACAATAAAGGGGGGTGTTTGAGATCATTTCTCCATAACTTGGAGCAAGACCATTTGGATCAACACATTCCAGGCATTTCATTGCTTTGAAAGGAACCACACATTCCCTTTTAAGTGCATTTAAAACAGTTGGATGTCAACAGGGGCTTGGGGAGACACTTGTCTTTATTAGTTGAGGCCCCTTTGGTTTTGGAGCAACCCCATCTCGTTTCTCTGTTTTCAATTTGGGGTTTTAGGTATTCATGTTAAAGCTTTAAGCCAACTCCGATCAAGTGGACATTTCAACCAGTACACTATATAATTAGTTTTCAGTCTTGGCATTTGTTCATTTGGAGGATGGATTGCCAGTTCAGTTGCCTCTGTTAAAAGACAGGACAACATAACCTTTTGAGCCAAAGCTTGTACTTTAGGTCAATAGTCAAACAAAACTGAATTTTCCCTGCTCCACATTTGAATGTGTGTGAAATCCAAGCTGTGGGTTACATATTCAGCAGCTTTTCCAGGTTAATATGAAGAGATTACTGTTAGTGTAGTGTTTGAAAATCCACTGCCAAATGTAAACTTAAGGAACACAGTAGGGTAACCACAAGCATTGACAAATCATGAGGTTTGTGGACTTGCAGCGAGTTGACTGGTGTCATGTTCTTGCTCTGTGTGGCCCAAAGTTCACAATAACAATGAGTGTGGGAGGACAGACTTCATGTTGCCAATGAAAGACCACTAACCTTCTCTTTGTTCACTGTGTGTTTTACATGCACATTGGTGATTATTTAATATGCAGAACAAATGCACTGGGAATAGAAACATTGGGCCATGTCATGCTGATGGAGGTGTCAGGTTAGACTTACAAAGGAATATGCTATTATATAGCCATACAATCATTAGATATGGGTCAGCCTACTAGGTGGCTGTCCTATTGTGGAAACAGAACAGAACCCCCTTTGCTGACTCCAGTTCCTCTCTCTAGGGTGTCATAATTTGATCATCATTAGGTGGTCAACATTGGCCTTGCCTTATCTGCAGTTCTGTATGGACCTCTCTTCCAGACCCTTTCTTATGTAATAGGTTAGTGTTAAATAATTAAACTATTTAGCCTAATGTGTGACAACTAAATTATTAGCCAGCTTGTCAAATGTACCCTCATACCTACTACGTAGGTATTCATGTGGATGTGGTTACAAATAATCAACTATATTTTGAGTAGCACCAAAGAGGACTACAGTATATAACGCAATCACTGCCTCTAATGTTCTTGCCGAGGTGTTTTAACAGAGCTCAACATGTGTTTTCATAGGTGGCTGCGTACTGTAAGACATCTGGCCGTGAGACAAATTAACTGTATTGCTTCCTCCTTCTTAGAGTCAAAGCTATTCTTTCATGCCCTAGAACTGAAACATTCTGAATGTTTTTCATCTCTAATCCTCTCCATACAGTACCATCGCTGTATCAATTTCTCACCACTTACACTTTTATCAGCTGTTGAAATTCAATCGTCTCCATAGTTGTAGCTGAGGCATGCCTGAAGTATTTTGATGAATATTTAACCCTAATAAAGATTATTTTCATTACTTTCAGTTAAAGAAAGGTTTTAACACATTACCACAGTTTAATAACTATAGCACAGAACCTGAGAGGTATTTTAGGCAAGTACTATAGTGGACACAGAGGGTTACATGGTCCCTGCTTTATATACAGTATACACTGTTAAAACAGAGAACATCATCAAATTCACATTCCAAATTATCTATTAGAAAAACTAATGATAGGTAGGGGTGATTTTATTTTCAGTGGAGAACCTTGATGTTTTTTACCAGGCACATTCAAAGTGGGTACTTGGGTTCTTAGCTTAGCATTGCAAGAATGACAGACCCTCTAATTAAGAAAATCTGATGGACATCCCTGCTGGACATACTATATAGAAATGTCGCTCCCCCGGCATATACGTTATTGTATTACAAAGTTCTTGTCACGGATTCAGCCGAGGCTGCTCCTCCTCCTTGCTCGGGCAGGCTTCGGCGTTCGTCGTCGCCGGAGTACTAGCTGCTACCGATCTATGTTTCTGTGTTCTACTTGTCTTGTCTTTATTGTTCACACCTGGTTCCCATTATGTATTGATTACTTCCCTATTTAACCCTCTGGCTCCCACTGTATTTTGTGCGTGTTTGTTCATGTTTGGTTGTCGTCTGGTGAGCGGGTTTGTTTCCTCCCTGCGTGGAGGTTATGTTATTTACGTTACCTACGAGTAAAGTACGTTTTCGATTAGCTCTGTGTCCTGCGCCTGACTTCGTCCTACCGCATCACACTGACACATCTCTAAATATTTAAAGGTTTTTGGAGATTCATGAAGATTTTTCCTCCAAATGTACCTGTGCTCATATTTGCAATGGAACACTGGCTCGACATACACTTAAAACCCACCACATTAAATAACTATCAAATATTTTCCATTCTAATGACCACTTACCAATAGAGCCCTCAACTGTGTGCCTGATTCTATCTTAAAAACACGTCTGGTGATTATGCTGGTGAAGTGCTGCTGTGGCCTTGCAGGCAGGCAGCGGTCTGCTCTCGTCTGTGTAGGTTGGAGAGCTAGAGTTCCTGATTGACGTGAGAGGCATGTTTTCCAAGGAGGGTAACGCGGGCTTTAGACAGGGAGGGCAGGGCGGCCCACTCCTTTCCTCCATTGGCAGAGCCGGGAAAGCAGTGCAGGCCCAGGTTTAGCTTAGAGCCATCTGTACAGTGAGGGAAAAAAGTATTTGATCCCCTGCTGATTTTGTACGTTTGCCCACTGACAAAGAAATGATCAGTCTATAATTTTAATGGTAGGTTTATTTGAACAGTGAGAGACAGAATAACAACAAAAAAATCCAGAACAACGCATGTCAAAAATGTTATAAATTGATTTGCATTTTAATGAGGGAAATAAGTATTTGACCCCTCTGCAAAACATGACTTAGTACTTGGTGGCAAAACCCTTGTTGGCAATCACAGAGGTCAGACGTTTCTTGTAGTTGGCCACCAGGTTTGCACACATCTCACAAGGGATTTTGTTCCACTCCTCTTTGCAGATCTTCTCCAAGTCATTAAGATTTCGAGGCTGACGTTTGGCAACTCGAACCTTCAGCTCCCTCCACAGATTTTCTATGGGATTAAGGTCTGGAGACTGGCTAGGCCACTCCAGGACCTTAATGTGCTTCTTCTTGAGCCACTCCTTTGTTGCCTTGGCCGTGTGTTTTGGGTCATTGTCATGCTGGAATACCCATCCACGACCCATTTTCAATGCCCTGGCTGAAGGAAGGAGGTTCTCACCCAAGATTTGACGGTATATGGCCCCGTCCATTGTCCCTTTGATGCAGTGAAGTTGTCCTGTATCCTTAGCAGAAAAACACCCCCAAAGCATAATGTTTCCACCTCCATGTTTGCCGGTGGGGATTGTGTTCTTGGGGTCATAGGCAGCATTCCTCCTCCTCCAAACACGGCGAGTTGAGTTGATGCCAAAGAGCTTGATTTTGGTCTCATCTGACCACAACACTTTCACCCAGTTCTCCTCTGAATCATTCAGATGTTCATTGGCAAACTTCAGACGGGCATGTATATGTGCTTTCTTGAGCAGGGGGACCTTGCGGGCTCTGCAGGATTTCAGTCCTTCACGGCGTAGTGTCTTACCAATTGTTTTGTTGATGACTATGGTCCCAGCTGCCTTGAGATCATTGACAAGATCCTCCCGTGTAGTTCTGGGCTGATTCCTCACCGTTCTCATGATCATTGCAACTCCACGAGGTGAGTTCTTGCATGGAGCCCCAGGCCAAGGGAGATTGACAGTTATTTTGTGTTTCTTCCATTTGTGAATAATCGCACCAACTGTTGTCACCTTCTCACCAAGCTGCTTGGCGATGGTCTTGTAGCCCATTCCAGCCTTGTGTAGGTCTACAATCTTGTCCCTGACATGCTTGGAGAGCTCTTTGGTCTTGGCCATGGTGGAGAGTTTGGAATCTGATTGATTGATTGCTTCTGTGGACAGGTGTCTTTTATACAGGTAACAAACTGAGATTAGGAGCACTCCCTTTAAGAGTGTGCTCCTAATCTCTGCTCGTTACCTGTATAAAAGACACCTGGGAGCCAGAAATCTTTCTGATTGAGAGGGGGTAAAATACTTATTTCCCTCATTAAAATGCAAATCAATTTATAACATTTTTGACATGCGTTTTTCTGGATTTTGTTGTTGTTATTCTGTCTCTCACTGTTCAAATAAACCTACCATTAAAATTATAGACTGATAATTTCTTTGTCAGTGGGCAAACGTACAAAATCAGCAGGGGATCAAATACTTTTTTCCCTCACTGTATGGTTGACTGGGAAATGTCAAGTCTGAGGCCTGCAGCAGGCAGCTGGGCCCATTCCAGACCCCTTCTCTCCCTCTTCCACTGGTCCGCACATCTCAGCATTTCAGACTCAGCCTCTTCATCAGGCCTGACTTCAGCTGCTCCAGCAGGCAGCACACATAAACACCCTCACCTCAGAGTTCACTGTATTCCTCTCCCCCTGCACGCAAAGCCCAGCCCAGCAGAGATGAAGTCTCCAGAGCTGGAATAATACAGCATCATAAGCTGAATTTAATATTAAGGGAAAAAGACGGTGATGGAAAAGACTGAACAGAGACTCAACTGTGTGATGTTCTTTACTTTTGGGGCTCTTGTACCTTAGTTAGGGAGCTGTGGACAGGATCTTCTGAAGGATTACTGAGGTTTGTAGCCTAAAACTGCTTATACCATTAATCAGTTGAAGGTCCAGTGTACAGGTATGCACTGTGTTAGAGTAAATTACATACAGTAAAGTTATAGCTCTATTATGTCAGCATTACCAGTTTATTTGTGCCCAGCAAGAAGCCATTTAAACCCAAATTCAATCCAAATTCAGGTCTTGACTTGAAGCTTCTCTTTGGCATCAGTCTGCTGTGTCCTGCTGGCCCCTCTACCACGTTGAACTGGAAATGGGTGTCACCATTACATCCAGCCCAGCTAGCAACACACACAATCAGCCTCACTCTAGTGTTTCATATTGGGCTGCTATGGTGCCCTTTATCTGACAGCTCATACATTTTAAATCCAGCCGACCCTACTTACTAGAAAAACAAAACACTTTCTCTATTCGCGTAATAATGTTTATATAAGATGGCAGTCAAGTATGATCTCACACTCATATTGAGCCCTGAGTTGAATGGTAGAGGTGGCTGAGGGGGCTTATTCACTTTCGCCTCGTATTTTGTGATTTATTAGCACAGTAATAAAATGTGTGTTCCCCCAAGAAAGCTTCAAGTTATAGACTATTGACCTTAATCTGTGAACATGCATTTCAAGTCTCTCCATCTGTTTTCCAGAAAGCTATTCTGGATACGAGAACCATCTCTTTAAAGGTGAGGATAAACATGCATGTCAGTTTTCTAAACTATCCTCTAGTCCTTGGCCAGAATGGTGTGACAAATCTGTTTGTTGATATCCTGGTTTTGGCAAATCTAGTAGGCCTACTATTGCATGCCTGTATGGTGGAAGTAGTGGGATTAAGGAGAGGGTTAAGGAGCCCAGTGGGAAGCTGTGTTTAAGTAAAAAGTGAATGAATGCTGACATGAGCTGAGCTTGCGTGAGGTATCAGACATTTCCATAACAGTCATTTTTATTCGCTGCTTTTCAGAGGATGATCTTACTGGGGAAGAGGAAGAGATGCCTTCCTTTAGAGGTGAGAAACATGGCCCAAATTCTACCACACACAGACATTTTATATTGCTGTGCATTTTTGTATATGTGCCTTGTTATGTGGCTAGGCAAGCAATACTTATTTGGGGCAATCGAGACAGCGCTTTGTTTTTATGGAGTGGTTTTGGAGTCCCCTAAAAACAACACTTTGAACAATAACGGCAGAATATCCATCTAGGGCGTATTGTTTACACATTGGGCTATGTGTGTACAGTGTTCGTGTGTGTAAAGACCTGCGTGTGTCTGCAGACAGTACGTATGTAATCACTGCTTTGTTTATATGCGTGCATTGTACATCTGTTATAGATATCCCTCCTTAGTCCTTCTCCACACAACTTCAGCAGCTCTGCTGACCAAAACCAGACGCTAGTCCAGTAATTAGTCATGCACAGTCTACACAGTGTCAGGGTTAAGACAGGTATTTCCCCTCCCCTCTGCCCTCTAACCAGCTGATGTTATGTAAGAGAGACTAGAGCCCCATGCTTCTGATTACAGGAAGAACCAGAGGTGGCTGTGTGAAATGCCAGCAGACATGTTCTCTGCAGCTGGCCGTCAAAGTGCTCTACGGTTTCTTTGCCTTCCTCATCATAGCAGTGGCAGTGCTGGCATCACTAGGTGAGTAACTATGATATTACACCACCGTCCCAGTACAGTTGTTATGCTCTTGGTTATCTTCCATGCCACATCCATACCAGGGACGTTTATGAGTCTGTCAATAGCTTGTATTGTACAAATGTGAACAGTTATTGTTTCCCATGTGGTGCTTTTTATAGGATTATGATTGCAAGGCGACCAGGATACAGGGAAATGTGTATTCATGTTTTTAATCCCTGGATTAATATGACCGTAACAGTAGTTGTGTCACGTTCGTTCATTGACGGGTCAGACCAAGGCGCAGCGTGATATGCATACATGTTTATTTGACTCGAATAAACAACTACAAAACAAGAAACGAAACGTGAAGTCCAAGGTACACAAACAACATACCTAACACGGAACAAGATCCCACAACCCACTAGTGCCAATAGGCTGCCTAAGTATGGTCCCCAATCAGAGACAACGAGCGACAGCTGCCTCTGATTGGGAACCACCCCGGCCAACATAGATCTAGACATACTAGATCTCAACATAGAAAATACAACATAGAAAAACACAACAAGGAAAATACACACCCTGACTCAACATATAAGCGTCCTCTGAGTCAGGGCGTGACAGTACCCCCCCCAAAGGTGCGGACTCCGACCGCACAACATAAACATAGCCGGGTAGGGGCCGGGTGGGCATTCCGCCTCGGAGGCGGATCCGGCTCAGGGCGTGACGACCTCTCACTCTTCGCCTCCCTGTTGCGCCCCTGGTCTGGTCTAGACCTCGGCGCGTTGCTTCCCCTCTCCTTCCTCCCACTATATTCCAAGCCCTGTCTGGACCCTAGTGTGGGAGACCCCGAACCTGGAGAGGGGCTGACGTCTGGGTCTGGACTGGAGCCGCTGTCCGGAGCTGGACCGGGCACCGGTGGAGCGGACTGCTCAGGCTCCGGACTGGAGCAGCTGACCGGAGCTGGGTCAGGCACCGGTGGAGCGGACTGCTCTGGCTCCGGAGTGGAGCCGCTGACCGGAGCTGGACTGAACCCCAGTGAAGCGGATTGCTCTGGCTCCGGAGTAGAGCATCTGACCGGTGCCGGACCAGGCACCGGTGGAACAGGCACGGGCCGTGCCGGACTGGACACACGCACCACTGGCTTGGTGTGAGGGACAGGAACAGGTCGGACCGGGCTGGCGACGCGCACCACTGGCTTGGTGCGAGGGACAGGAACAGGCCGGGCCGGGCTGGCGACGCGCACCACTGGCTTGGTGCGAGGGACAGGAACAGGCCGGACCGGGCTGGCGACGCGCACCACTGCTTGGTGCGAGGGTCAGGAACAGGCCGGGCTGGCGATGCGCACCACTGGCTTGGTGCGAAGGGCAGGAACGGGCCGGGCCGTACTGGGAACACGAACCACTGGCTTAGTGCGGGGAGCAGGAACGGGCCGGACCGGACTGGCGACACGCACCACTTGCTTGGTGTGAGGAGCGGGAACAGGCCGGCCCGGCGACGCGCACCACTGGCTTGGTGCGAGGGGCAGGAACGGGCCGGGCCGTACTGGGAACACGCACCACTTGCTTGGTGCGAGGGACAGGAACAGGCCGGATCGGGCTGGCGACGCGCACCACTGGCTTGGTGCGAGGGGCAGGAACAGGCCGGGCCGGGCTGGAGACGCGCACCACTGGCTTGGTGCGAGGGACAGGAACAGGCCGGACCGGGCTGGCGACGCGCACCACTGGCTTGGTGCGAGGGTCAGGAACAGGCCGGGCTGGCGATGCGCACCACTGGCTTGGTGCGAAGGGCAGGAACGGGCCGGGCCGTACTGGGAACACGAACCACTGGCTTAGTGCGGGGAGCAGGAACGGGCCGGACCGGACTGGCGACACGCACCACTTGCTTGGTGTGAGGTGCGGGAACAGGCCGGGCCGGCGACGCGCACCTTTGGCTTGGTGCGAGGGGCAGGAACGGGCCGGGCCGTACTGGGAACACGCACCACTTGCTTGGTGCGAGGAGCGGGACTGGGTTCCTTTATTAACCCCCGCTCCTTCTGCTGCCTAACCAGCTCCTCTCGCCGTGCCTCTACACCTTCCTTCTGCTCCCTCTGAACCAATGGCCCCCGTAATCTGGTGGCCTCCTCTCCTAACCAGCAGATCCGCCCTGTCGCAGCCTCCTGCTGCCTCGTCGTCCACACCGTGTGCCCCCAAAAAATGTTTTGGGGGGATTGCCTCTCCACCCTGATCAGGGCCTCCCTCTTTCTTGCCAGATCCTCTCTCATCTCCTGCCAAGTCCATCCTCTCTGCTCCTCTTCGGCACACTGCTTGGTCCAGGTCTGGTGGGATCTTCTGTCACGTTCGTTCATCGACGGGTCAGACCAAGGCGCAGCGTGATATGCATACATGTTTATTTGACTCGAATAAACAACTACAAAACAAGAAACGAAACGTGAAGTCCAAGGTACACAAACAACATACCTAACACGGAACAAGATCCCACAACCCACTAGTGCCAATAGGCTGCCTAAGTATGGTCCCCAATCAGAGACAACGAGCGACAGCTGCCTCTGATTGGGAACCACCCCGGCCAACATAGATCTAGACATACTAGATCTCAACATAGAAAATACAACATAGAAAAACACAACAAGGAAAATACACACCCTGACTCAAGATATAAGCGTCCTCTGAGTCAGGGCGTGACAAGTTGAATTGAATCACACTGAGAGAACTAGGAAAAGCCTCCCTGATTCCTGCCCACTTTTACACCACCGACTTTGGTTGGGTTTGCTATATTTGTCAACATGCAACAATTTCAAAGATTTTACTGAGTTACAGTTCATATAAGGAAATCAATAAATGCATTAGGCCCTAATCTATGGATTTCACATGACTGGGAATACAGATATGCATCTGTTGGTCACAGATACCTTAAAAAAACGGGTAGGTGCGTGGATTAGAAAACCAGTCAGTATCTGGTGTGACCACCATTTGCTTCATGCAGCGCGACACATCTCCTTGCATAGAGTTGATCAGGCTGTTGATTGTGGCCTGTAGAATGTTGTCCCACTCCTCTTCAATGGCTGTGCAAAGTTGCTGGATATTGGAGGGAACTGGAACACGCTGTCGTACACGTCGTTCCAGAGCATCCCAAACATGCTCAATGGGTGACATGTCTGGTTAGTATGCAGGCCATGGAAGAACTGGGCCATTTTCAGCTTCCAGGAAATGTGTACAGATCCTTGCGACATGGGGCTGTGCATTATCATGCTGAAATAAGAGGTGATAGCGGCAGATGAGAAGGCACGACAATGGGCCTCAGGATCTCGTCAAGGTATCTCTGTGCATTCAAATTGCCATCGATAAAATACAATTGTGTTCGTTATCTGTAGCTTATACCTGCCTGCCCATACCATAACCCCACCGCCACCATGGGGCACTGTTCACAACATTGACATCAGCAAACCGCTCACCCACAGGACGCCATACACGCTGTCTGCCATCTGCCCGGTACAGTTGAAACCGGGATTCATCCATGAAGAGCACACTTCTCCAGCGTGCCAGTGGCCATCGAAGGTGAGCATTTGCCCACTGAAGTCGGTTACAATGCCAAACGGCAGTCAGGTCAAGACCCTGGTGAGGACGACGAGCACGCAGATCAGCTTCCCTGAGACGGTTTCTGACAGTTTGTGCAGAAATTCTTCGGTTGTGCAAACCAACAGTTTCATCAGCTGTCCGGGTGGCTGGTCATAGACGATCCCACAGGTGGAGAAGCTGGATGTGGAGGTCCTGAGCTGGCGTGGTTACACGTGGTCTGCGGTTGTGAAGCCGGTTGGACGTAATGCCAAATTCTCTAAAACGACGTTGGAGGCAGCTTATGGTAGAGAAATTAACATTACATTCTCTGCCCACAGCTCTGGTGGACATTCCTGCAGTCAGCATGCCAATTGCACGCTGCCTCAAAACTTGAGACAACTGTGGCATTGTGTTGTGTGACAGAACTGCACATTTTAGAGTGGCCTTTTATTGTCCCCAGCAAAAGTGCACCTGTGTAAGGATCATGCTGTTTAATCAGCTTCTTAATATGCCACACCTGTCACGTGGATGGATTATCTTGGCAAAGAAGAAATGTTCACTAACAGGGATGAAAACAAATTTGTACATCAAATTTAAGAGAAATAAGCTTTCTGTGCCAATGGAACATTTCTGGGATCTTTTATTTCAGCTCATGAAACATGGGACCAACACTTTACATGTTGCGTTTATGTTTTTGTTCAGTATAATAACTAAGCTAATATAGCTGTATTATATCCAGATTGTTGAATTAGCCGTTTGAAGGCCAGGACTTGGAGCTCCACATCATCTGGCATTCCTCCCCAATCAGGACCTGTTCTCTTTTGTCATGCTTGACTTTACAATGTGCTCCACGTTGTACACTAACAGCTGAGAGGGAGATCTGGTTCAAGCCTAGAGGGTTTTGTCTTTAAAATATAAGGGCCATTTAATTTTCAACAAGGATCGTATGAACATACAACTTCAACCCGATTTGCCATTTCTTACCTGACTGACAACTTTTTAAGTGCTTCCAGATGTTACTTGCATTTAGACAAAAATATTATTGAGATTCAAAACGATACATCTCTTTTTCACAGCAGCCCAGAGTTCCCTTAGGACATTGTGTAATTCCAAGAGCACTGATTCAGAGGGTTGGGATTCCAACACCACCGTGGCACCGCATTTTATTGGCTGGAGCAGGGTCTGCTTGAGTTTATGTCAACGCAGAGCACAGCAATACTGAGGCAAAACAAGAACAAAGCACTGTAAACTTGATATCGTGAAATGTCCGAAATTGTGTTTGGTTACAACTCCCCAAACATTGAGTGAGAACAAAAACATTGACCCATAAATGTAGAAATGTTCTTATCATGCAGCACATCTGTTTTACATTGTTCAGAGTCCCCAAGAATTAGAACCTAACCAACCTCTCTCCAACTAGCCGACATGGTTATAACAATAAGATGTTCAAGTCCACCAGTCCACCAGGATAATAGCAATTAATGGTAAGAGGCTGTGTAAAATCAACGTCCCTGAGACCTAATGCACTATAACAGGTGGTATGTAGAGGACATATGGAATCGTTTGTGAGCAAAAACTATGGCACAATTGTTATTAATCCCCAGAGTCAAGGATTAGGAAATGATATGCAACAAGGAGTCCTTAAAAATGTGCCTTAAGCACTGTTGTTGTTTTCCTGGGAAATATAGTAGACTGAGAAGTAACCAGCTGTACAAACCATTTCCATTATTTGTGCTGTACTTTGTAATGGAAACTGTGTTGTTGTTATTGTAAAACAAGGTTCAGGACGGCATTATCGTGACGTAACTTTCATTATTGTGATGACTATTATTTATCGAATAATTACCTACTATGTTTAATTGTTACTAGATTAAATTAATAATGTAACAATTAACTCATTAGGAATTTGGGGCACCACGGGAAAAGTTATTGAAGAATCAGCAATACACAAATTGGCTTAATTATTTATTTATTTACTAACTAACTAAATAATAACACAATACAAACACACACAGGTTATTGATTACTAACGTAATACAATGAAAACAGATCCCTAGTGGACTGGACTAACAATAGCATGAATGCTTGGGTAGAAGGAGGGTCAGAGTGGAAGGGAGAGAGGGATTCAAACTATCATGGTTACTTTGGAGACTACGCTCACAGTAATCATAATACTTATGCACCCTTATAACGCTCATTCGGATTAGAAATGCAACATGTATTTACGTGTAGCTATCCTCGATAGTTGAGTTGATGTAGGACTCTGGTTTGCCCACCAGAGATCCCAATGTCCTTGGTAGAGTTTCTGGTCGTAGTTGTGGTTAGATTGGTTACTTCAGATGTACCAGCAGTTGTCTGAGAGGGATTGTCCTCTCCTCTCGTGTCTTTAGTGAAAGTTCTCTAGACAACTATACATGCCAGCTGCAGACTGAAATGATAAGGTCAAGTGCATTATCTTCTTCTTCACCTCGTGTAGAGGTTAAGCGTTTCAGAGTTTCTCCATTTCTCACGTTTTCTGGTCTTTCTGGTCTACCATTTTGTAACGTATAGCTTCAGCTTCACGCTTCTTGGTCTTGTAGAAATTCAACCATTTGCAACATCAGGCTTATACCGTAGTATGCTTGGTCTTCCTTTGGTAATGGAGTTGTAGTTTTAAACCATTTTGTAACGTTTAGCTCACGCTTCACGTCTGCTGGTCTTGTAGAGTGTCAACCATTTTAAGTCGTGGGCTTCCTGGTCTGGTAGAAATTCAACCATTTGCAATGTTTTGCTCACACTTCACATCTGCTGGTCTAATGTAAAAATATTTTTCAAGGCTTTTTATGCACTTGGGGTAAAAGGGGCGTTCCATCATGTTTGTGCTCATCTGGGCGTGGCCACTGACTGAGAACAAATCAATATGGAAAACAATAATCTCATCTAGAATGCTAAAATCACATTGTTATCTTCACAAAAGTATTATTATACTTAATCATTCATTTTATACAACAATTAGATGTAAACGTCATAACTGGGAAGTGTACACCCCCAGAGATACAGTTATGTTGTTCCACTGTCTTTAATGACATTACAACATAGTAACGAATTTGACATGATTGTTCTTTAAGTCCCTACCGACCATTTCCCACATTCTTTTAAGTAGGAATATTGTTTCATTATCCACTTTTGGATGTTGGTATCTTGGCGGGAAGACTTCCTTTGTTAACAAAGGGGTCCTTTCTCCCAATACTTCATGTCAAGGAAGAGAAAGTCTGCACGGTATTTACGACCGGTCATAAAACTGGCCCCCAGGGAAGGGGGTGTTCAAACCTTTGCCTAGCCGGCATGTTTGATCCTCAACCCATGAGGGCAAGTCATGACAGTATCTTAATTCCATTCAATGATGTGTATTGCTGAGTACTGGCGTGTTTCGGAGCAAGCTCCTTTGTCAAAGGAGTGGTGTTGTCACTCTATAACTTCATTTGGGTCTTAGTCTCAACACATGTATTAAGTCTGTATCAATACCTACATAGAGAGGAACCTCCATTGTATTTATTCGGAAAGTCTAATTTACATAATTATCTTTGTCTCATCAGTATTTAGGAAGGTCGACAACTTATCAGAAGAGGAATCCTTTTATCATAAGAAGATTACTAAGGTCCAGGAAAGTATACAAGGTGAGAGAGAGTTATTAATCACGTGACAAAATGTGCTGTGCAAGCAGAGCCTCCCAATGTGGCTGCTGACAGAGAAGTCAAGAAGTAAACAATGACTAGTAGAGCTGACTGGACATTTCTGCAGATTTCCAAAATATGTATTTTGCCAAAAGAGTTGTCTGTTTAAAATATGTCACCCATTGAGTGTAACTGTATGGGGGATTGAGTGTGAAGTCTGAGCAAGTGAGGATCTGTTCTTCAAGCTTCATGGCCTGCCTCCTGTGCTGTGTCAACTCCCTGAAGAGACATAACTCACAGAGCTCAATCTATGACGTCAACAATACCCTACTACAGCTGCCTCCATTGGCCCATCATTTATGGAAGCACTGCAGCTGCCATGTACTTCAGTCGACTAGAACTTACACATAGCTAACTCTGATCTTGGCTAAATGATCAATGAACAGATCGTCATAACATTGTTATCTCTTCTTTCCCAGATCTCAGCACTACCAGCAACTGCTCTGACTGCTTCGACATGGCCCACTTCAGCGAGGAGATCAGTAGGCTGAAGAGGGAGTTTGAGGATCTCCAGAAAATGATCCTGGGACAGGAGCAGGTCCTGGACCAGGCCTCCCAGACCCAGCAGACCCTGAGGACAGCCAGCAGCAGGATGACACGAGACATGCAGAACTACTCCCTGTCCATCAGGCTCATCAACCAGTCCCTGGAGCGTTACTTAGACCAGGTGGACGGATGGAAGGCGGTCATCACCGAGACGGACGAGAGCATGAAGACTCTGTCTCAGGATCAGTATGACCTCAAGGCCACCGTGAATCAGGTCAATACCACAGTGGCCCTCAGCTCCTTGTGGATGGACGCCCTGCAGAGGAAGACCAATGAGGAGACACTGGTCCTGCAGAAGATGACAGCGGACTGGCAGAACTACAGCCGGGTGTTGAGCGGTCTGAAGTCCAACTCCAGCACCACCACTCAGACGGTGAGAAGCATCCAGAGTGGGATCTCGGCCACGCACCAGAGGATCAGCATGAGCTCGGAGATGGTGCACGACCTCACCCTGCAGGTGATGAACCTGCAGATGCAGCTGGACAATGTCACCTCCTTCATGGACGAGCACGAGGAGAACATGCACGACCTGCACTACCATTCCAAGTACTACCAGAACCGGACGGGTGAGAGGTTTGTCACCCTGGATGCTCGCATGGACTCCATCGAGATGGAGATCGACACCATCTCGTCCAGCATCAACGCCACGGTGAGCCACGTGCAGAGCATGTACAAGTACATCAACATCGAAAGCACATCGTGCCAGACGCGGATGAGTAGCCACACGGAGGACCTGCAGAACCTGAACAACACGGTGCTGCTGCTGATGCACCTGGTTGACATCCTGAGGCAGCGGTACGTGCTGCTGATCGTCCGTCTAGACATGGACGTCAGGAATCTGTCCATGGTCATGGAGGAGATGAAGCTAGTGGACACGCACCACACCCAGCTCATCCAGAACTTCACCATTCTCAAAGGTACAGCAGAGATGTTCTTGATGTCATTGCCAAATGCACTTTTGTTACAAGATCTTAATTTAAAACGTGTCGAAAGCGTTCCACAGGGATGCTGGCCCATGTTGACTCCAATGCTTCCCACAGTTGTGTCAAGTTGGCTGTATGTCCTTTGGGTGGTGGACCATTCTTGATACACACAGGAAACTGTTTAGCGTGAAAAACCCAGCAGCGTTGCAGTTCTTGACACAAACCGGTGCGCCTGGCACCTACTACCATACCCCGTTCAAAGACGCTTACATTTTTTTTGTGTTGCCCATTCACCCTCTGAATGGCACACATACACAATCCATGTCTAAATAAGTATTTTTAAGCCTTGAGACATTTAAACCTGTCTCCTGGCCTTCTTTTTTTTATTTTTATTTTTTCATATTTTTGGGGTATAAAAATACAATAAAAATACAATTAATGACAAGACAACCATAACAACTGAGGACAATGTACATAACAATACTCAAACAGACAGACAAACACAGTACAACACATTTGGACAAGACAGTTATCAGCAATGCCATGGTGTAGCCTAATAGAAAAAGAAATAGACATTGTTAGCTTACATTCCATGGCATATGGAGCATTTTGCCCTTATAATAACTTAATTAATATTATTCAATAGAACTCTAGTCGACTTTGTCAAAGAAATATGCCTTAAGAGTTTCCCAACACTCCCCCTTGCTTAGCATCTCCCACTTTCTTTGATGCTGTTGAATTTTCTGATTTCTAATAGCAATTGTCGTTTCAAGGATGAATCAGTGTCACCATTTTTTTAAAGGTTACCTTGCAGAAGTATTGTGTTGTTAATTGGAGGATTATGGACATTGAGGTCACCAAAGATGATAAGCTGAGGGTTAATATGTAGTTTGATGGAGTGATGGGAAAGCCAGCCTTGAACTTGTAGCTAAAATAAGCTCACTGTCGGACAGTACCAATACAAATGCATTATGTCTTCCTCTTCATGACAGAGTCTGCATTTAGAGTTATGGTCAATACCCAATACTCTTTGAAAGTGGGTTTAAGATGGCGCCGACAGAGATGGCGGCCTCGCAACTGGCTCTTAGGAAACTTGTAGTATTTTGTTTATTAACACAGCCAAATAATGGTGTTTTAAATCAAGCTGAAACATACTACACACCATAATATTTGTCTTTGGCTGTGGCTCTTGACGGTGGCTTATAGAATGAGTCTTGAGACGCCACTTGCAAAACATCAAGGAAACCTGAGTCTTCTACAATGCTAATGGGTCTACAATCCTTTGCAATCCATTTTGCTATTGTGTTGGTCAAATTATCTGAGGTTGATTTTGTTAATTGCCTGCAAACATTCAGCGTGGTCTGGCGCAAACCACTTGCTGAATCTGACGGCCCAGCAAACGCATGTTTGGCGTTGACATGGTACTTCAAGCTTGAACAGCTCCGGTGAAATTGAAACTCCTTCTTACAAATCTTGCAAATAACCTTGTACTTGTTAACTGTACCATCATCATTCTTTTTATATTTGAATCCGTCAATAGGCCCACTTTGCTCACCTTGCTCCATCTCGCCTCTAGCTCCCAACCACTTTCCTGACCTGAATAATTTGTTTTATGTATAATTTTTTTTTACATTGTTAGCTCAGAAAATGTTTTGTTTCATTACATACAGCCGGGAACAACTATTGGATATCAGAGCGGCGGTAACTCACCAAAACTACCAGCATTACGACCAGGAATACGACTTCCCCGAAGCAGATCCTTTGTTCGCTCTCCCCAGAGCAATTGAACTGATTCCAGAGGCCGACCCAAAACATCGCCGGCAGAGTAGAGGCACTCGAGGCGGCCTGCTGGTTCGACTTAGGAGGCGCGCACCCCCCCCACCGCTTCTGAGTATATTGCTCACTAATGTTCAGTCTTTGGATAACAAAGTTGACGAACTCAGGGCAAGAATTTCTTTCCAGAGAGACATAAGGGCCTGTAACATACTTTGTTTCACGGAAACATGGCTCTCTCTGTCGAAATCGGTCCAGCCAGAGGGGTTCTCAGTTCATCGCGCAGACATGAATAAATATCTCTCTGGGAAGCAGAAGGGCAGAGGTGTGTGTTTCATGATTAACGACTCATTGTGTAATTGTAGTAACATACAGAAACTCAAGTCCCTTTTGTTCACCCGACCTAGAATACCTCACAATCAAATGCAGACCGTATTATCTCCCAAGATAATTTTCCTTCGTTATAGCCACAGCTGTTTATATCCCCCCTCAAGCCGATACCACGACGGCCCTCAAAGAACTTCACTGGGCTTTATGCAAACTGGAAACCACATATCATGAAGCTGCATTTGTTGTAGCTGGGGATTTTAACAAAGCAAATTTAAGGACTAGGCTGCCGAAGTTCTATCAACATATCGACTGTAGTAATCGCACTGCTAAAACACTGGACCACTGTTATTCAAACTTCCCGGATGCTTACAAGGCCCTCCCCTGCCCTCCTTTCGGCAAATCTGACCACGACTCCATTTGGCTTCTCCCTTCCTATAGGCAGAAACTCAAACAGGAAGTACCCATGCTAAGGACTATCCAACGCTGGTCTGACCAATCAGAATCCATGCTTCAGGATTGTTTTGATCACGTGGACTGGGATATGTTCTGGGTAACTTGCAAAAATGATTTACACGAATACACTGATACGGTAACTGAGTTTATCAGGAAGTGTATAGGAGATGTCGTACCCACTGTGACTATTAAAATCTACCCTAACCAGAAACCGTGGATAGATGGCAGCGTTCGCGCGAAACTGAAAGCGCGAACCACTGCATTTAACCATGGCAAGTTGACTAGGAATACGGCAGAATACAAACAGTGTAGTTATTCACTCCGCAAGGCAATCAAACAAGCAAAACGTCAGTATAGAGACAAAGTGGAGTCGCAATTCAACGGCTCAGATGTATGTGGCAGGGTCTACAGACAATCACGGACTTCAAAAGGAAAACCAGCCACGTCACCGAGACCGACGTCTTGCTTCTGGACAAGCTAAACATCTTCTTCATCAGCTTTTAGGATAACACAGTGCCACCGACGCGGCCCGCTACCAAGGACTGGGGGCTCTCCTTCTCCATGGCCGATGTGAGTAAAACATTTAAACGTGTTAACCCTCTCAAGGCTGTCGGCCCAGACGGCATCCCTAGCCGCGTCCTCAGAGCATGCGCAGACCAGCTGGCTGGTGTGTTTACGGGCATATTCAATCTCTCCCTATCCCAGTGTGCGGTCCCACATGCTTCAAGATGGCCACCATTGTTCCTGTACCCAAGAAAGCAAAGGTAACTGAACTAAATTTCTATTGCCCCGTAGCACTCACTTATGTCATCATGAAGTGCTTTGAGAGACTAGTCAAGGATCATATCACCTCTACCTTATCAGCCACCCTAGACCCACTTCAATTTGCTTACTGCCCCAATAGATCCACAGACGATGCAATCGCCATCACTCTGCACACTGCCCTATCCCATCTGGACAAGAGGAATACCTATGTAAGAATGCTGTTCATTGACTACAGCTCAGCATTCAACACCATAGTACCCTCCAAGCTCATCATTAAGCTCGAGGCCCTGGGTCCTGGACTTCCTGACGGGCCGCCCCCAGGTGGTGAAGGTAGGAAACAACACCTCCACTTCGCTGATCCTCAACACTGGGGCCCCACAAGGGTGTGTGCTCAGCCCACTCCTGTACTCCCTGTTCACCCATGACTGCGTGGCCAAGCATGCCTCCAACTCAATCATCAAGTTTGCAGAAGACACAACAGTAGTAGGCTCGATTACCAACAATGAAGAGACAGCCTACAGGGAGGAAGTGAGAGCTCTGGGAGTGTGGTGCCAGGAAAATAACCTCTCACTCAACGTCAACAAAACAAAGGAGATGATCGTGGATTTCAGGAAACAGCAGAAGGTGCACCCCCCTATCCACATCGACGGGACTGCAGTGGAGAAGGTGGAAAGCTTCAAGTTCCTTGGCGTACACATCACTGACAAACTGAAATGGACCACCCACACAGACAGTGTGGTGAAGAAGGCGCAACAGAGCCTCTTAAACCTCAGGAGGCTAAAGAAATTTGGCTTGGAAGCTAAAACCCTCACAAACTTTTACAGATGCACAATTGAGAGCATCCTTTCGGGCTGTATCACTGCCTGGTACGGCAACTGCACCGCCCGTGACCGCAAGGCTCTCCAGAGGGTGGTGCGGTCTGCCCAACACATTACTGGGGGCAAACTACCTGCCCTCCAGGACACCTACAGCACCCGATGTCACAGGAAGGCCAAAAAGATAATCAAGGACATCAACCACCCAAGCCACAGCCTGTTCACCCCGCTATCATCCGGAAGGCGAGGTCAGTACAGGTGCATCAAAGCTGGGACCGAGAGACTGAAAAACAGTTTCTATCTCAAGGCCATCAGACTGTTAAACAGCCATCACTAGCACATTAGAGGCTGCTGCCTATAGACATAGACTAGAAATCACTGGCCACTTTAAGAAATGGAACACTAGCCACTTTAATAATGTTTACATATCTTGCATTACTCATCTCATATGTATATACTGTATTCTATACTATTCTACTGTATCTTAGTCATTTTAATAATGTTTACATATCTTGCATTACTCATCTCATATGTATATACTGTATTCTATACTATTCTACAGTATCTTAGTTCATGCCGCTCTGACATCGCTCGTCCATGTACGTATATATTCTTAATTAATTCCTTACTTAGATTTGTGTGTATTGGGTATATGTTGTGAAATTGTTAGATATAGAAATATGTTATTACTTGTTAGATATTACTGCACTGTCGGGGCTAGAAGCATAAGCATTTCGCTACACCCGCAACAACATCTGCTAAACACGTGTATGTGACAAATACTATCTGATTTGATTTGGACATAATTGTATAGAATATCTTTAACTGAAAGGCTCTTGAGTATGTACTGTATCTATTGATGTTTTGTATATGAGACCTGCTTTCATGGTATTGGGTTGTCGAAGATACTGTATCTTCCCAATACGTTTGAAATTTGTATGGAATTGCAGATAGGTTATGGAAATTCAAAGTACATTTCAGAGTGGATTTGATACTTTTTGTATTCATTTTGTATCCCCGTTCAAAGGCACTTAAAGCGTTTGTCTTCCCCATGTCTCAATTGTCTCAAGGCTTAAGAATCCTTCCTTAACCTGTCTCCTCCCCTTCATCTACACTGATTGAAGTGGATTTAACAAGTTACATCAATAAGGGATCATAGCTTCCACCTGGTCAGTCTATGTCATGGAAAGAGCAAGTGTTCTTAATTTTTGTATACTCAGTCTATGTGCTAATATTGCTGCTGTCATCTGTGCTCACTAACACTACTCTTCTTTTTACAGGTGCACCGGGCCCACCTGGTCCAAAGGGGAACAGAGGGGAAGGAGGAGGCAAAGGTCCAGTTGGCCTGACAGGAAACAAAGGAGACAAGGGCCCAGCAGGGAACCGTGGTCCTCTGGGAGAGAAGGGCCCCATCGGGCCTAAAGGAGCCCAGGGGGAGCCAGGACCAACAGGGGCCAGAGGCGGAGTGGGCTTCAAAGGGGCGAAGGGTTCTCTGGGTCAACCAGGCCCACGCGGCGAGAGAGGTGAGAAGGGAGACATGGGTACTATTGGTAAGGATGGAATACCAGGCCCCAAAGGGCCACCAGGAATACAGGGCCAAGCAGGGCTCCCAGGGATCCACGGGCTGCCTGGCCCAAGAGGAAAGCCAGGGCCTGTTGGTCCACACGGGCCTCCCGGAACCCCTGGCCCACCAGGTCTGCCAGCTTACCCAGCCACGGTGTCTTGAGGGGCCTCTGGGGTCTGATCACAACAAGGACAGGACAAGCCTCCATTGGACGTGGTAATGTATTGGCAGCCTGGCAAAGGGATGGAGTGTGATTGAAGAGGATGGAATGAATGGAGCATGGAATAGTTCAATCTCAAGCTTTCCCCTTCATGTTACTCCATTGTTTTCATTGGACACCCCATGCTTTTGAGCATATACACACAGCCCATGTTCAGGTATGAAGGGGTGTAAAGGAGAAAATGAAAGATAACAAAAAGACTTGAGTTTAAAAAGATGCATTGCAAGTTTTCAGTATCATATACAGCTGAATGTATGTTTGAAGGAGCCAGAAAACCCACATAGGGGATTCATAAAGGTCTAGGTTTACAATGCCATGCACTTTCATGAGGGTACAGTTAAATAACGATAGAGTTTTACACAAATTTGTGAAACATTGATACGTGAAATTCTATTCAATGGCACTTATTGGTTTTATAAAGTGTAGAAACTACAGTCTGTTTTTATGTGTTTGCTTTTGCATCTTTTATGTTTCGGAGCAGGTTCTCTGAATACTGACTGAAGTTCAGGTGATTAAACAGGTCATAGAGTGGAATGGTAAGGAATGAATGAAATTGCTGAAGAACCAAAAGTATCTGCTTAGGTACACAACTATGGATGTATTGTATGTTAGTCAGTAATTGAACATTTCCTGAATGACTTAAAAAGGTACGGTTTTGAAATATACAGCTCTGGAAAAAATTAAGAGACCACTGCAATTCTTTCTTAAATCAGCATCTCTACATGTATGACAGCCATTCCATTCCAGTGTCTGTTGAATTCCAACACAGGCACACCTCATTATACTGAATTAGGTACTGATTAGGTGATCACCTGAACCAAATCTTATTTAACGAGGAAAAGTATAAAAACCAGTGCTGTGGTCATCACTATCCTCTTGCAATAGGACCAGCTGGATGGCAAAAACAGTGCTAAAAGTACCTCAAAAGTAATATTAATCAAAAAATAACTATTGACCATGCCAAAAGTTGAAAAGGAACGTTTTGAGTGAGGAAAAGAAGGGTTCAATTCTGGCTTTACTGGCAGAGGGATACAGGGTCAGGTTGCTTCCATCCTTAAAATTTCAAAGACGGCGGTTCATAAGAACAAGGTCAAGCAGCAGACATTGGGGACAACAAAGCTACAGACCGGCAGAGGGCGAAAATGACTCTACTGACCGGGATGACCACCAACTCATTTAAATGTCACTCAAAAACCGTAGGATGACATCAAGTAACCTACAAAAAGAATGGCAAATGGCAGCTGGGGTGAAGTGCACGGCGAGGATGATTCGAAACAGGCTCCTAGGGGCAGGGCTGAAGTCGTGCAAAGCTAGAAAAAAGCCCTTCATCAATGAGAAGCAAAGAAGAGCCAGGCTGAGGTTTGCAAAAGACCATAAGGATTGGACCGTAGAGGACTGGAGTAAGGTCATCTTCTCTGATGAGTCCAGATTTCAGCTTTGACCAACACCTGGTCGTTTAAATGGTTAGACGGAGACCTGGAGAGGCCTACAAGCCACAGTGTCTTGCACCCACTGTGAAATTTGGTGGAGGATCGGTGATGATCTGGGGGTGCTTCAGCAAGGCTGGAATCGGGCAGATTTGTCTTTATGAAGGATGCATGAATCAAGCCATGTACAAGGTTGTCCTGGAAGAAAACGTTCTTCCTTTTGCTCTGACATTGTTCCCCAACTCTGAGGATTGGTTTTTTCCAGCAGGACAATGCGCCATGCCACACAGCCAGGTCAATCAAGGTGTGGATGGAGGACCACCAGATCAAGACCCTGTCATGGCCAGCCCAATCTCCAGACCTGAACCCCATTGAAAACTTCTGGAATGTGATCAAGAGGAAGATGGATGGTCACAAGCCATCAAACAAAGCCGAGCTGCTTGAATTTTTGTGCCAGGAGTGGCATAAAGTCACCCAACATCAATGTGAAAGACTGGTGGAGAGCATGCCAAGATGCATGAAAGCTGTGATTGAAAATCAGGGTTATTCCACCAAATATTGATTTCTGAACTCTTCCTAAGTTAGAACATTAGTATTGTGTTGTTTAAAAATGAACATGAACTTATTTTCTTTGCATTATTCGAGGTCTGACAACACCGCATATTTTTTGTTATTTTGACCAGTTGTCATTTTCTGCAAATAAATGCTCTAAATGACAATATTTTTATTTGGAATTTGTAAGATATGTTGTCAGTAGTTTATAGAATAAAACAAAAATGTTAATTTTACCCAAACACATACATATAAATAGTAAAACCAGAGAAACTGATAATTTTGCAGTGGTCTCTTAATTTTTTCCAGAGCTGTATATATTTTTACAAGATATATTTTGGGTTTTATGCCAACAATTTGCTATGTTACATTCAAAGTGTTTTCAGATTTAAAGTGTAGATAATATACATCATGTTTGTTGTGTTTTCTTGTTTCCATTCATATTTATCTCTGCACTTAATCAGAGATGATCTGTATATTTTAATAGCAAATAGAAAATGTTTAAAAAGTTTAAATGATAAGAGACGCTATTTTTGTAAACCTGTGTGTCATTCTTATAAACATGCGACTGACTTGCATAGATGTTGAATAAATGCTACCATTCAACTTCACCAAAGTGTATTCACCTCAGCAATATTAAAGTGGAAAACAGTCTGTAAAATGAAAAAGCTTTAATCCTGAAGACACTATGAAAAGACTGCAGCGTTTAAATTTGAGAAGGTGTGTCTGATTTCAATGGCTGGCTGTGTAAAGATACTCTGTTAAAATGGCTTCTCTTTCATATGTTACTGGCACATGTGGTGTGCAAGCCGCCACAAGATATCTGACCTCCAGCAGCTTTACAAAACCATTACCACATGTACAACCATAAATCACTCACAGTTTCAGTGTGTAGGGAGAGATTTTGGCTTGATGCGTCATTACAAATGGCACATTTAGGCAGAAACAGTATTATCGACAGTCAATGTGGAGCCAGCATTATGCTCAGTCACACAGATGCTTACTCTGATTACCATGTCTGTGCCCTCCTCAACTGGCCATGGCTCTTATCATTGTAGTTTTACAATAACCATTGTTAGTGCTGAAATAACTAACTGCTACTGTAAATAAAGCACATTAAGCAAACATACACTGGAACATTTAATGACACTTTTATTATATTGTTACTTTCAGTGTATACTCCAATGACATATAACTCCATTTTAATGTGAAGCTCGGTAAACAAAGGAGGTCCGTGGAGAATAACTGCTCCATATAATATCTATTGTATTGGCACCAGGCGTATTGTTGGGGTCACAGATGCTGTCTGTTGCTGACACACTCATTTCACAGGCCCATCTGTAGCAAAGACACATCTATACCACTGAACCCCCAGATACACTCTGTTCTTCATGAATACACTTTCCATGAATACCAAAAAATATACGATGGCAGATTAGTTGCCGGGGGTCAACATGTCATTTGAGCACCATTTCACTGGTTTCAGTTTCCCTTGTACTGTAAGAGTTGAACAATAACTGCTATTTGGACCCATTGAATGTACATAACTCTAAACCCTCAGGCTCAAATTATGAAAAAGGTGATGTCATCTCATTAAAGAGATCCTACACCTCTTTACAGGAGCCACCTCAGTTACCATAATCTACCTGGGGATTGTTTGGCCTCTTTATGAGCTAATGGCTGTCCTTTACCCTTGGTGTCTGCTGACTGTGTGGCGGAAAAAAGGCCCTGGGTCTGGGTGTCTACAGCTGGCAAACAGGCCTGTAGCCTACAGCAGCCTGTAGCAGTTCCACGCCACCACCACCACACTATGTCACGCTGCTGGCCTGGCCTGCCTGACAACAGGACCGGACCGGACCGCCCCTCCAACCCCCGACAGACAGACAGACACATAACGCTCCATGGATACAATTACCAGGCATGAAAAACACTAACTTCACATGGAGGTAAAAGTAAAAGTCCACTATGAAAGTCAGTGAGAAGAAGGACTAGTACGAGTGATGGAAAGTTACATAATGATTACTTCTGTAGGTTTGAGCGTGGTGCTCCTGTGACGCACCACAGCCAAGTGTTGGTCTGAGCTGTCAGCTGCCAGGTGATTGTTGACAAGAGTAAAAGTCCTGGATTTTAAGACAGCCATATTGGAATATCATCATCATGCCATTGCCTACTAGCTAGCCCATTTAGGCTGACATAGTATAATATTGTGCTGCTAGGATGTTTTTGGCTGTGAAAAGCACATTACATTATCAGTTGCCAAGTGTCAATGGATGGCTTTATAAGATTGCTGTCTTTTCTGAAAAACACTATCTTATTGTCAGTCTGGAATAACAGTTGCCTGTAACACAAGGAGACAGATATGGTGACCATTTCTCATGCAATATTTCACAGCATATCAGTGTCCCTTCTTACACTGTGTGGGCCCTACAATACATGGGGGGTGAGAGAAAGCTGAAAACATTGCCATGACGGGGTACACAGAATGTTCCATTTCTATTAAAGGTCCAATGCAGTTGTTTTTAATCTCAATATCAAATAATTTCTGAGTAACAATGAAGTACCTTACTGAGATTGTTTTCAATTAAAATGGTAAACAAAAAAAGTTTCTTAGCAATGAGCAATTTCTCAAGCAAGAATTTAGCTAGGACTGTCTGGGAGTAGTCTGAGTGGGAGGGGGAAAACTGAAAACGACCTGTTATTGGCAGAGAGGTTTGGAACTATCTTTCTTATTGGCCTATTAACTAATTTACAGTGATGTCACCAGGCAGGCCAAAACTCCATCCTACCAAAACAGGCTGAAATTTCAGGCAGTCTTTTCAAACAGCCCTTACACTAAAAAGGCATTATCATAATTTTCACAATTTCACAGTATTATTCCAGCCTCATAGTGTGGAATTATACACTACATGACCAAAAGTATGTGGACACCTGCTCATCGAACATCTCATTCCAAAATCATGGGCATTAATATGGAGTTGGTCCTCCCTTTGCCGATATAACAGCCTCCACTCTTCTGGGAAGGCTTTCCACTAGATGTTGGAACATTGCTGCGGGGACTTGCTTCTATTCAGCGACAAGAGCATTAGTGAGGTCGGCACTGATGTTGGGCGATTAGGCCTGGCTCGCAGTCGGCGTTCCAATTCATCCCAAAGGTGTTCGATGGGGTTGAGGTCAAGGCTCTGTGCAGGCCAGTCAAGTTCTTCCACACCGATCTCAACAAACCATTTCTGTATGGAGGTATTGCCATGCTGAAACAGGAAACGGCCTTCCCCAAACTGTTGCCACAATGTTGAAAGTACAGAATCGTCTAGAATGTCATTGTATGTTGTAGCGTTAAGATTTCCCTTCACTGGAACTAAGGGGCCTAGACCGAACCATGAAAAACAGCCCCAGACCATTATTCCTCCTCCACCAAACTTTACAGTTGGCACTATGCATTGGGGCAGGTCGCATTCTCCTGGCATCCGCCAAACACAGATTCGTCCGTCAGAATGCCAGACGGTGAAGCGTGATTCATCACTCCAGAGAACGCGTTTCCACTGCTCCAGAGTCCAATGGTGGTGAGCTTTACACCACTCCAGCTGACGCTTGGCATAGCGCATGGTGATCTTCGGCTTGTGTGCGGCTACTCGGCCATGGAAACCCATTTTATGAAGCTCCTGACGAACAGTTCTTGTGCAGACATTGCTTCCAGAGGCAGTATGGAACTCGGTGGTGAGTGTTGTAACCAAAGACAGATGATTCTTAAACGCTACGCGCTTCAGCACTCGGCGGTCCTTTTCTGTGAGCTTGTGTGGCCTACCACTTCACGGTTGAGCTGTTGTTGCTCCTAGACGTTTCCACTTCACAATAACAGCACTTACAGTTGACCGGGGCAGCTCTAGTAGGGCAGAAATTTGACGAACTGACTTGTTGGAAAAGGTGGCATCCTATGACGGTTTCACGTTGAAAGTCACTGAGCTCTTCAGTAACGCCATTCTACTGCCCATGTTTGTCTATGGAGATTGCATGGCTGTGTGCTCGATTTTGTGTCAACGTGTGGCTGAAATAGCCAAATCCACTAATTTGAAGGGGTGTCCACATACTTTTGTATATATAGGGTATATAAAACACAGGAAAATCACATTTGTGACTGCACTGGGCTTTTAAGTTCTCCAATTTCTTTAATAAAGATTAATACTGTTGAATGAAAGGAGATTACTTCTTTCTAATTCTCAGTTCAAACACAAAAACTGAAAAGTAAGAGGGCGTTGTGTTTTTGCTCTGGTGAAAAACACAATGCTTGCCAGAATAAACTATGCCAGATGTTCAGTCAGGAAGCAGAGCCAAGTTTTTATTCTCCAGGTGGAATACATTTCACACATGTATTTTCTCACTCCTGTGCTTAATAAAGCAGCTGTCTCTGCAAAGGTAAAAGTTCTTACCTCCTATTTACGTTTTCCAAATGCCATTGACAACCCGGATGCAACAGGGGATGCATGACATGGTACTTGATTACTTGAGAAGTGGATTTAATGACTGCCAAAAGTTACATGCTAATTATTTTCTCCTTTAACACACACCAATGGATCACTGTTTACCAGAGAGAAGGCGAAAATAGGGAACGACACCTGCAGTCACGCCTGCAAATCCAAGTCACAATGACAACTTTACAAGCTTGCAATAACGTGACCATTAAATATTTGACAATGGGTTATTGTCCATCTGAAAAGTGCCTTATACCAATAATAACTTTCATTCACACAGTCTGACAGATGATAAATGTCTGTTTTGGACACAGACAAAAACACATTTCAGATTATATCAATGTTGACTGATATGTCTCACAGAATACTCTTTGAACTTATCAAGGATCAGGCATGGTCTTTTTCACTATGTCAACACAACGTGTGTCAGATACTTGGATCCACCTCCATCCATCCAGCTCTCTCCATATTGTTTCTCTCTTTTTCTCTCTCACATCACACATTCACACCTGCTGCTATTATGAGTAGTGAGATACGTACGTTGATTGTTTTCACAAGTCGTGTGTCATAGAGACTCCAGGGATTGATTCCTACCATAATGTCATATCCAGTCTGGCCATTGAGGGAGGTGACAGAAACATCAGGAGACATTACCCAACCTGGAATCTGACAGCACCAATGGAACCCATTACAGGTGCAGCTGTTTAAATAGACTGTTCTGAGTCCTGCGTTAAAGCTGATCAAATGACTATTATTGTATTTTTCTCTATGTAAACAGTGGTTGAGTCAACGCTTTTAGAAAGTCTGTACATAAGGCATTACAGAGATTGAGAACAACATCATTCTACTGTATGGTGGTGACTTTTTGTAAGAGCAATGGGACCACTATTCTAGTCTATAATATATGGTTTAGATGTTCTTATTGGAAGTATTAAGAACATAACACAATCTTGATGGTTATTCTACCTCCTCTTCTAGCTCTGTGGGTCAAAGGTCACTGCAGTCCAATTTTATTTCAGAGCAGGACGTTTCACCTTGTGTGGCAGGATATTTCAACATG